AAACTCTGGCTTATAGAATTTAGCAAAGTCTCTTCAAATAGCCCTTCCCTCTCAGAAAGGGGCCACTCTTTTCTAAAGGCTTCTTGCAGACCCCATTCTTCAGTCTTTGAAAGTGGTGTCTGGGGCACAATTGGTTTATAGAGAACATTTATTAACTTATTTCTCTTTATCTCCCTGCCCTTATCCCCTACCTCCTCTTTTATTGGCAAGTAAATTTCAAAAAGGGGGAAACTCCACGTGTGAATACAATAATTTCCAGAACAAACCCAGAAATCAATTATTGATAGCTATGTAAAGTGCTGCAAACAGGGGCATGTTTGACTGCTGTGGCTGAGTGGAGAACAAAAAGCATTATCACCAGAAACACAAGGCTCCATTCATTTCCTTGGAAATTCAGACTAGTTTATAATATTGCTAAGGGACAAAGAGATTTTACTCTGGTGCTAACTCATTGGTTTTTTAGTGAAAAATACTTTTTAACATTTTTTTTCAGAATTTGATGTTGATAATGTCAGTCCTTATTGCATGTCAATTATCTTATTATTCCTCTGTGGGTTTCCTAGTGTTCTGCTATGGATTGCTGTTAGTCTGCAGTGAAATGCCTCTGTCCAGCCATCTCCTCTTTGTTCATGTAAACCCAGCATTCCAGTCTTTTTCCAACTTCAGAACAGTGGTGAACAGAATTGGCATTGTTGATAAGATATCATTTTGTGTATTGGTTTTTCTCTGTTAGTAGCTGAATGCTTTAACAAGTTTATCAGCCACACTCGCTTAACAAATATGTTAAAACCGGAACTGTGGTTTCAAAGGCTCCAAAGTAAATAGGACAAATATTCTTGGGTTGAAAATTTCCTTCTTGCAATAAATCTGAGTTCAAAGAAGCTACAGAATTAAGCATTGTGCTTTTCATGTGAAATTCAATTCGACAAACATTTATTGTTAAAAAAAATTCTTTTAACTTCCCCTTCTTAATATAGTGGCTCCTGTAGAAGGAGGAAGTTTAGTGCTAAATACTGAACTATTTTCAATTGAGGTTAGCAGAGGTTATCCATAGGGCTGAAGAGTTGGGGAAATTTCTCCTCCAGCTCTGTGGTTTTCCTCGATGGTCTACCTTTTTTTTTTTTTTTTTTTAAACACTAGTTCCCAATATCCAAGTATAATAGAAAAACACTTAACTCAGAGGTTTCATCTTATCCTTCTTATTTTTTTGGGGCCACATCAGTTCACATTTCCTAAGTTCTCATCAGTCAGCAACAATTGCCCAGGCTCCATAGTCTGTTGGACTGACCAAGTCTGGCTTACATTATAATGGAGGAAGCAAGAACTCTCTCACGACTCAGAAATTCCTAGGAAAGTAGACAATACCTGAATGCATATGTGACTGCCATTGGTGTAGTCAGACACATCCATTGCTCAAAGACAAGTAGTTCTTTGTACATCTCTACTCGGATATCTACATTGGGGTTCCTAGGTGTTGCTTGGCTAGTCGGAGAAGGGCTGAGATTGTGCAGTGAAGAAATTCAGAGGAATTTTGAGCAGAGTTAGTATCAAGGAGGGCCAGGGAGCAGGGATATTTCTTAGGGAATGTGATATGTAAGAGAAGGTATGGAGAAGTGACATCCTGGGTTAAGGTACTGATGTAAAATATGGCCCCAGGATTCAGGGTTTCTTGAAGCCCATCTTTAGAACTTCTAGGGATCTGTGAAGTCCAGGTTAAAAGCTGCTTTTTGATACCTGTCTGAACAGACAGAATTTAGTGTGGTATAGGCCAGGAAGGGCAGAAAGGGGGGCAGAGGGAAGGAAAAGTAGCTCTGTTCCTCAAACCAAAGGGAATGCTGAAGGATGGATCTGGGAGCCCCGAGAAGTTCCAGGTAGAGTGGCTCAGATGACAGGAGGCCTTCTCAAGAAGACACAGGAAGGACTTTGGACTATGAACCTAAAGAGGCCCCAAGTACCAGTGACCTGCCTTCTGAACACATCTCATCAACTCTTACACAGGACTGAAGATTTCCCTCTTAAATGTAAACTGGGGACCAGGTGTGGTGGCTCATGCCTGTAAACCCAGCACTTTGGGAGGCCAAGGTGGGTGGATCACTTGAGGTCAGGAGTTCAAGACCAGCCTGGCCAATATGGTGAAACCCCATCTCTACTAAAAATACAATAATTAGCTAGGCATGGTAGCACATGCCTGTAAGCCCAGCTACTTGGAAGGCCGAGGGAGGAGAATCACTTGAACCTGGGAGGCGGAGGTTGCAGTGAGCTGAGATCGTGCCACTGCACTTCAGTCTGGACGACAGAACAAAACTCCATCTCAAAAAAAAAAAAAAGGTTAGAATAGGGAATAGATTTTACTCATCTGAACAAAACAACATAATGTTTGTCATCAGGTAGTATAAATACCATACATATTGATATAATTCTATTTTTCTCTATTTTCCTTGGTAGAAAGTGACAATTGTTTCTTTGGTTTACAAAGCTCTTTCATTCTCACAATGAGCCTGAGGTTAGTTATTTTCTGCACTTTTCAAGGGAGTTGAGGCTCTGGGCAGCTTAGGGGCTTGTCTAGTGCCCTCAGCTTGGGGTGGCTGAAGGCATAACTCCAGGCTCAGTGCTACTTCCACCATACTTTCTACTTGGTTCTTGGTCAGACAGGTCCTACTTTTGTGCTTGGGATTTCACTGCACTGATGATGCTCACACCCATCCTCCCCTGACAAAGACCATTAACTACATCACTGATCTCTGCCTTGACCACTTGTTCAATAGTTTTAGCCATTGGGCTAACAGTTGTTAGGCACCAAGATATGTGGCCTACCTGAGACTCAGGAATGCATTATCACTCCCACAAATGGAGTCCTATAGTTACCCCTGAGCAAGGAGGAGCACTAATCTCCACTCCCCTTCATAAGAAAGAACAACTAATCTTCCAATTACAGAGAACTTTGGAAAAACGTGAAGGCACTCTGAGCCCAGAATTGTGAGGTCCAGAGAAGAAATTCAGCTCCAAAAGGTAGAGGTTTGTGAAGACCTACAAGCTGTTTCTGGGGTCCTTGGACACACAGAAAACCAGAAGCATTAATGAGTGCGACAGCTTTAACTCCCCTCCTGTAGGACCTGCTATGTTAGAATCCAAAGTCTGCTCAGGAGCTGTCCTACCTGCTCACACTAGAGCATCCAGGGGGAACTGTGGATAGCTGCTGATGGCCCAGATGACTGAGCAGAGAATGGCTCCAAAGAAGATTACTAAGAGCTCATTTCAGGGGCAGTGGGGAATAGACCACAGGTGAGTGCTAATACCATGGGAAATGTGGGAATTGCCCCATCAGTGAAGGGCAACAAAGCTGGCTTCCTGAGACGGGGAGGAGGCTCATACTCCCAAGGGGAACACTGGGGAAAAAGCAGCTTTCCTGCAGCCACTGTGACTGACAGTGGGGAACTACTTCTCATTCTAGATCACTGGGGCTTTGGACTGCAGGGGTTTGTTCATTGCTTATTTGTGGTGATGGGGTTTCTTTTAATCAAACTTTGTGCTTGCAAAGGGGAGTTTGTACCACTGTACAGGGTCTCTCTCCATCATTTTGATTCAAGCTAAACTGATCAAGTGCAGGATATGTTGGCTACAGGATTATGCCAGGATACAGTTTTCTCTAGGTGAAATAATTGCTTTATAATCCTCACAATAGATCTCAAACAAGCAGGATTAGTGTGTGGGTCACCTTAAAAATCTGGTGAACCCCCTCTTGTTCCCAAGTATCTGTGTTTGGGGGAACTTAGTAAAGGGAGGAGCTTTCTGGGAACTTCCTGTGTTTAGTCTCAATCTGCCAATGATTTGCTTACCCCTGTGTTGTTGAATTGGAAGATTAGGTGGTGATTTATCAGAAAGTGTAGCAGGAAAAACTTGTCATTTCTAAGACCTCAAATACTGGTTAACTGCAAGTTTCCATCTAGAAGGTAAGCTCTGATTCACTGTTTTGTATTTTCTAAAAGAGTTATAGATAATTTGAAAAAATAGACCTGCCAAGAATTGAGATCTGTGTTCTCCTGGGTTAGAGCTAACATTTGTGGTAAGGGAAGCACTGCAGGTAACGGTTTAGAGCCTGGACTTCGGTGCCAGGTGGAGACAAGTTACGGTCACAGCTCTGCTACTTGCTAATTGTGTGATTTTGGCAATTATTTAACTCTTTAGCCTTCAGTTTGCTTCCTTGGTTAATGTTTTTCTTAGTTCTATTAGTTTTTCAATTATGTTTTCTGAAACTAGAGATACTTTTGTCTCTTTTAATATTCACAGTAGAAATTCCTTTTTCTTCTTTCATTGCATTACAATTATTAGATGATATCAGTAACAATGACAATGGACATTCCTATCATATTCCTGACGTTAATGAGATGTTTCAAATGTTTCATATTGAGTATGATAATTGCTATATGATCTGGTAGACATTGTTTAAAATCAGCTTAAGAAAGTTTCCTTGTACTTTAAAAAATTGTGAATAGATGTTAAAGGTAGTCACTTTCTTGGCATCTCTTGAGCCAAAATAATTACATGGCTTTTCTTCTTTAGTCTGTTAAAATAATGCGTTTTATCAATAGTTTTCTCTATTAACTAATTATTTTTAATGTCAAATCATTTTAAAATCTAAGATAAATCCTAATTGGCTATGATGCATTTTTCTTTCTCACACATTTCTTTTTTTAATTTCTTGTCATGATTTTCACTATGCTGCCAAAACTAGTATTGAACCCTCAGACTCAAGGGAACCTTCTGCCTCAGCCTCCCTAGTAGTGGGGACTACAGCATGTGCCGCCATGCCTGGATGCATTTTTCTTTTTAATATTTCTGGACTTGATTTTGTCATATTTTATTCAGGATTTTTAAAATTTAAGTTTTAAAATGATACTCATGTATCATTTTCTCATGTGCTATCTTTATCAGGTTTCGGGATTGTTATTTTTAATTAATTGTGTTAATTTAAAAGAGCAGGCTGGCACAGAGAAGTGGACATGCTGAAGGAGCTCCAGCTCTCCCTGTCAGTCATCCTGCTGCTTGCCTGTGGCTTCCTCTACCAGTTCACCCTGAAGTCCAGCTGCCTCTTCTGCTCGCCTTCTTTCAAGTCCCAGCAGGGGCCAGAAGCCCTCCTGAGCCACAGACGTGGCATTGTGTTTCTAGAGACCTCAGAGAGAATGGAGCCGCCCCACTTGGTCTCCTGTGCTGTAGAGTCTGCTGCCAAGATTTATCCTGAGCGGCCTGTGGCGTTTTTTATGAAGGGTCTCACTGATTCCACACCGATGCCCGCAAACTCCACAAACCCAGCTTTTTCTCTGCTCTCAGAAATAGACAACGTTTTTCTCTTCCCTTTGGATATGAAAAGGCTGTTTGAAGACACACCATTGTTTTCATGGTACACTCAAGTAAGTGTTCAAGGGAACTTAAAATGTCGATGAATTATATATATGGGTAAACTGAGGGTAAGGACTCAGGTTGGAGATGGGACTAGAACCCACGTTTGGGTTGACTCTCATTTGGCCCTCTTTTTTACCACACTGAAAGCTGATCAAGTAAACAGGGGAGACTTAGGTTAGGTGTATCTTTAGTCTAGTGTCTTTTGCTTCTAACCTTATTTCTTTTAGGATCTTGGTTACTTTGGAGACTATTCTTTTTTTTTTTTTTTTTTTTGAGATGGAGTTTCACTCGTTACCCAGGCTGGAGTGCAATGGCGCGATCTCAGCTCACCACAACCTCTGCCTCCTGGGTTCAGGCAATTTTCCTGCCTCAATCTCCTGAGTAGCTGGGATTACAGGCACGCGCCACCATGCCCAGCTAACGTTTTGTATTTTTAGTAGAGACGGGGTTTCGTCATGTTGAACAGGATGGTCTCGATCTCTTCACCTCGTGATCCACCCGCCTCGGCCTCCCAAAGTGCTGGGATTACAGGCTTGAGCCACCGTGCCCGGCCGGAGACTATTCTTAACTGAATGAGTTTTTATATCTTTTCTAGGTGTATAGGACATTTACTTTTTACTATAGTTTTAAATCCACTTATGTTAAACTCTTTTTTTTTTTTTTGCACCTAAGGTAGAAATCAGGCAATATTTAACATGAAATTGATGTAAGTAGAAAATTCATGAAGGCTCTGTGAAATGCTGTGATATGAGATTGGGTTGTATTAAGATATGATTGAGAAACTCCTGGAGCTCGGAGGAATTTTGTAATCGCCATGTTAGTAGCAAACCAATAAGGGAATAACATTCCAATCTAATATTTCTCTTACAGAGGAGTTGAAATCAGGTTACTTAAGGAAATTATAGTACAACCACTCAATGATTCCATTATGCAGGCTTTAACTATGATTTTTAAAAACTGACATCTTATGAAGACTATAACACAATATGAAATTAAAACCACCTTATAATTATACATAACGTAATTACAATAGCTATAACGATTTAAGTTATACAAAAACCCACACATATCTACTGAAAAAAAGAGACCTGAAAGAACTATACAACACATTAATAGTAGATGTTTTAGTATAATTGGATTAGGAGTGAATTTAGTGAGAATGTGTTGATTTTATAAATAAAATTATTTTAGAAAACAAAAATTAATTTAAAAACTGACACAAAAATAATACTATTCACACTGGTTGAGCTGGCATGCATCTGTAGTCCCAGCTACTCCACAGGCTGAGGCAGGAGGATCGCTGGAGCTCAGGAGTTCAAAGGCCAGCCTGGGCAACATACTGGTATAAAACAACAGAAATGCATTCTCTCACAGTTCTGGAGGCCAGAAGTCCCAGATTATTTTCACTGGGCCAATATCAAAGTGCTGGCAGGGGTGTGTTTCCTTCTGAGTTCCTAGGGAAGGATGATCCCTTGCCTCTTACAAGCTTCTGTAGCCACCAGCATTCTCTGGCCAACAGCCCCTCACTCCAATCTCTGCCTCCATCTTCAAATCTCCTTCTCCTGTGTGTGTAAAATCTCCCTGTCTCTCTCTTTAAATGACACTTATGATTGCATTTAGGGCCCTTCCAGGATAATCTCCCTATCTTAAGGTTCTTAATGACATCTGCAAAGTACTTTTCCCATATAAGGTAACATTAACAGATTCCAGGAATTAGGACCTGAGGTCTTTCGGTAGCCACTATTTAGCCTACTCCTAGCCCCACCTCATTTGCCTGGGGACTGGGTGGACTGTCCCGGGTGCAGGGAATGCTTGCACCTAGTTACTGTCAGGTGGAGACATTTTTTGGCTTAAGTGATAGACGTGATGGGGAGGGATCTGGTGGGCCAGAAAGGTAGGGCTGGGGCTGGGAGTGGCCCCTGTGGTTAGTTTTATTCTTGGCCTCAGTGACTTCTAGATCCCAAAGTGCCTATCTCTCCTTCTGAAGAGCCCTGAAGTCCTCAAATGGGGACCTATCAGGAGGAGGTGGGGCAGTTCATGGCCTGAGTTTCCACTGTGAGGTCCTGGCAGTTGCCAACAGCAGAGTTCCCAACAAGTAGGTGGCGCTGCCCTGTGCAGTGGCAGGGTGGGCAGAGGGGGTTAGGGAGGCAGTTGCTGGGAGTGGAGGAGACACCCTAGCTTGGTCTCTGTGGCTCTCAGTGTTAGCTTGCTGGAGGGTGCTCTGTGACTCTACAAGTTTCCTGATACCAGGGCTAGATTAATACTGCTTGATATCGTTTGAATATATGTCCTCACCAAATCTCATGTGGAATGGTATTCCCCAGTGTTGCAGGTGGGGCCTGGTAGGAGGTAAGTGGGTCACGGGGGTGGATCCCTTAAGTCTTGGTGCTCTCTTCCGGATAGTGAGTGGGTTCTCGTGAGATCTGGTGGTTTAAAAGTGTGTGGCACCTCCCCCTCCTGCCCCCACTCTCTCTTGATCCTGCTCTCACCATGTGATGCACCTACTCCTGCTTCACCTTCAGCTGTGAGTAAAAGCTCCCGAAGGCCTCCCCAGAAGCCAAGCAAATGCTACTGCTTTGCTTCCTGCGCAGCCTGCAGAACCATGAGCCAATCAAACCTCTTTTCTTTATAAATTACCCAGTCTCAGGTATTTCCTATAGGAATGCAAGAACAACCTAACACACTGCCTAAATTGTATTTTTCTTCTTGAAAAAAATCCGTAATCAGATTATTTTGGGAGAAGTTGCATACTGCATACTTCATCCTTTTCTTAGCAGATGAATCACAAACATAAGGACACTAAAGCCTCTTTATCATTCTGAACTAAAGAAATTTAACTGGATTCAACCGATCATTTCCTAAACTTATCTGAGCATGGAACCCTCCTTTAGTGTGACACATAAATAATCTCTTGGCACTGATGTTCCATGGAACACAGTCTAGATTGCTCTGAGCTGCACCTTAATTTTACTACATTGGATTTTAGGAGCAAGATGCGCTCTGAGCTAGAAAGCTCCTAAGTGTTTGTTCTGTCTGAGCCTGCAGGAGTGTACATCTACAGGGATGACACCACAGTACCCTAGGGATGCTGAGCTGTGGCATGGGCTTCCCCAATTAGGCCAAAGCAGGTTAGCTGGGAGCCACCTGTTAGGAAAGACCCAAGGTGCCATCACTTCCTCATGACAACTGGGTTTGCTGCATTGATCTGGACTATTGTAGCCCTTGAAGATGCCCAGGAATGAGAACTATGTGCATAGGAGGGGATGGGTGACTGTCCTCTGAGGAACTAGAACCCTAAGGCCTCTTTCTGCTGCTCATCCCTTTTGAAGCGCTTATGTTTTAGGTTGATTATTACTCTAATGCCTTCATCAAGGCAGATTCTTCTTCCTCCAGTTTTGTGTGGCTTTTGGTATCCTATGTTTCTGGGTCTGTTCACTAACAATTGCCAGTTTACCAAATAATCATTTACTTATTTTTATCAAAATCTTGTTTTGTTTGACTGAGTGGATATCTGGAGCCAGACTGCCTGGGTTCAAATCCAATCTCTGCCTCTCTTACCTTGAACAAATGACTGAACTTCCTGGTCATAATTTTTAACTTGAAAAACAGGAATAACCATAGTTCTTATTTGTGAGGACTTGTGTTGATTATAAAGAGCTTAGGACAATTATTGATAAATGTTAGCTATTATTACTAGGTTTTTGGCAATTGTATAGCCACCGCGCCTGGCCCTTTTTTTTTTTTTTTTTTTTTTGAGATGGAATTTCACTCTTGCTGCCCAGGCTAGAGTGCAATGGCACAGTCTTGGCTCACTGCAACCTCCGCCTCCTGGGTTCATTCTCCTGTCTCAGCCTCCCTAGTAGCTGGGATTACAGGTGCCTGCCACCACACCCAGCAAATTTTTGTACTTTTAGTAGAGACGGGGTTTCACTACATTGGCCAGGCAGGTCTCGAATTCCTGACCTCAGGTGATCCACTCACCTCAGCTTCCCAAAGTGCTGGGATTACAGGTATGAGCCACTGCTCCCAACACAATGTGAAAAATTTTAACACCTTGTGAAGATCTCTGCAAAGTTTTAGTTGACCTGCTTTCATTAGACTTGATAGCAGAATTTTAAAGACTGTTCATTTTGTCAAAAGCCAAGGGTGGTTGTTTAATCTTTTAACCAATGTATTTAAAATTAAAAAAGAAATAGATCTTGCTTTCTCTTTCTCTTCAAAATCTTAACATTCCATATGGGAACATTGTCAATTGTGCTGATTTATTTTTATTCTTTTGAGAGTCATTTTCTGTTTTGCTCACATTTTAGCCTTTGCACTCATCTGTGACTTCTCTCTCTCCTACCCACATCCAGCCCATCAGTGAATCCTGACCAGCTTCATCTTGATTATGTACCCTTCTCTCACCCCCACTGTTAGCACCATCATCTCTTGTCTGGATTATGCCAATCGACCCTTAACTTGCCTCGCTGCTTCTGCCCTTGCCACTTAACCAACCCTACCCCAGACTGATTTCCATACAGCAGCCAGAGGGGCCCTTTGAAGATGAACTCAGATCACTTTTTTTCTTCCAAACCTTCCAAATAATTTCAGTCTTGGCCCCAGCCTATATGATCTGCCCTCCCTCCCCACCCCTCTCCAATTCTGATCTCATTGCCTACCCCACTCCCTCCTCTAGTCTGCTTCAGCCTACTGCCTCCTCCTTATTCCTGCACATGGTGAGTGTGCTTCTGCCTCAGGACCCTCGCATTTGCTGGGATACAGACCCGAGTTTCAGTGACTCTTAGGCCCTGCATTCATGGAATTACATGACCCAGGAGGAGAGGGCTGGTTAGAGGAAGCAAAGCACTAGGTGAAAATCTCTACTGAAAGATAGCTGAGTTCTCGGAGTTCCCTCCTCCTAGAACTCTCTTCTCCTAGATATGGGCATGGTTTACCCACCCACTTCATTCCAGTTTCTGGAGGAACTATGTAATATAGTGCTCCACCCTGCCCCATTCACATTCCCTTCACCCAGTTTTTTTTTTGTTTGTTTATGGTTGTTGTCAACATCCAACAGAGAATGTTTGTTTATTTATCTTCCCCTTCCAGTAGGGATTTCTGCTTGTTTGTTCACTGCTGTATCCTTAGCAGCTTTAATAGAATTTGGCACTAATAGAATAGTAAATACGCCCTCAATCAATATTACTAAAGGAATTAATGAATGAGCAAAGGCATACATTTTAAGACTCTTTTTACCAATTTTTCAAATAGCAGACATAATGATTTTTTTCATTGTCAGTGGTTAGCATTTTAAGGACTTTATTTGGTTCTTCCTCTATGGTTTCATATTTGTACTTTATGTACACCCACGTTGAAGAATGACTCATACAGTGCATTGTGAAATCTTTTCTGCATTTCTTTATCTTTCCAGTGCTTATTAAAAAAAAAATTCATCAAATATTTAAAAGCTGTTAAACCTTCCCACTGATACTGATCGCTGTAAACTTTTTACTTACATGAAAAATTTTGGAGTGAGGTAAGTTTGGTAAATTTGCAAAACTAGGCTTGTGGCAAACAGGATTTTGGGAAGCTGGCTTGTTTAACTTCCCTCCCCCGCCGCGCCCCCCCCCCCCCGCCCCCGCGCCGCCCCGCCGGCAACTTGGGGCTGATTTGCACCTGCTCCTTCAGATCAACACCAGTGCAGAGAGAAACTGGCTCCACATCAGCTCGGATGCATCCCGCCTGGCCATCATCTGGAAATACGGTGGCATCTACATGGACACCGATGTCATCTCCATCAGGCCCATCCCTGAAGAGAATTTTTTGGCTGCCCAGGATTCTCAATACTCTAGTAATGGAGTATTTGGGTTCCTCCCCCACCACCCCTTTTTGTGGGAATGCATGGAAAATTTTGTTGAAAACTACAATTCAGACATTTGGGGCCACCAAGGCCCTGGTTTGATGACAAGGATGTTGAGGGTATGGTGCAAACTTGAAGACTTCCAGGAGCTGAGTGACCTCAGGTGTCTGAACATGTCCTTCCTACACCCCCAAAGATTTTACCCCATCTCCTATCCAGAGTGGAGGCGATACTATGAAGTATGGGACACAGACCCAAACTTCAATGACTCTTATGCCCTGCATTTGTGGAACTACATGAACCAGGAGGGGCGGGCTGTGGTTAGCGGAAGCAACACACTGGTGGAAAATCTCTACCAAAAGCACTGTCCTGGGACTTACAGAGACCTGATTCAAGGCCCAGAGGGGCCAGTGACTGGGGAGCTGCATCCAGGTAACAAATAGAGCCAACACTAGGTTGCTGCTGCTGCAGTGTGGAAATGGATGTTTCCTGGAGTGCGACACTTTCACTTGATCTCCACTGTCTCTTTGTGGGGGTGGGGTGGGCTGGGCAGAGGGTTACCCAAATGTCAGTTAGGATTAGTTTTCTCTGTCTAGAATAGAACAATCCCAAATAATACTGGCTATAAAACATACACCCATGGTCCATGTGGCTGCATGACCTCCAACCCATCATATTTGCATTTCAGGCAGCAGGATGAAGAAAAGAGAAAAGGTGCACTTGCTTGATTTTGTGAAGACTTCCTGCAAGTACCATATAACACTTCCTCTTACATTGCACTGACTGGCATGTAGCTGCAAGAGACGCTAGGAAATTAAGGAGGAAGAAAAAATGGGTGCGGGATAGGCAGCTACCAGTTTTGCTACATGTTTTTTTTTTTTTTTTTTTTTTTTTGTCTTTTTGTTTTTTTCCTTTTTGTGGAGAACGGGGTCTCGCTATGTTGCCCAGGCAGGTCTCGAACTCCTGGGCTCAAGCTATCCTCCCGCCTCTGCCTCCCTAAGAGCTGGGATTACAGGCGTGAGCCACAGCGCCCAGCTTTTACGCTTATTTTTTTTTTTTGTCTTTTTAAACATCTCCCATGCAGATGGCACACTCTTCTTTTTTTTTTTTTTTTTTTTTTTTTTTTTGAGACGGAGTTTCGCTCTTGTTACCCAGGCTGGAGTGCAATGGCGCGATCTCGGCTCACCGCAACCTCCGCCTCCTGGGTTCAGGCAATTCTCCTGCCTCAGCCTCCTGAGTAGCTGGGATTACAGGCGCGCGCCACCATGCCCAGCTAGTTTTTTTTGTATTTTTAGTAGAGACGGGGTTTCACCATGTTGACCAGGATGGTCTCGATCTCTCGACCTCGTGATCCACCTGCCTCGGCCTCCCAAAGTGCTGGGATTACAGGCTTGAGCCACCGCGCCCGGCCTACATGTTCTATTTATTCTTTTTTTTTTTTTAAGACGGGGTTTTACCATGTTGGTCAGGCTGGTCTTGAACTCCCGACTTCAGGTGATCCACCTGCCTTGGCCTCCTTTTGACAGTCTTATTAAAAAATATTCACAAGTCATGTCTTCTGCCCCAGCTTTCTTATTCACAGCTACTTGCTTTGGACTTGTAGATGTCTGATACCATCGTCAGGCTCTGAGGCCTGCTGCCATACCCCATGGCTGTCCTTCGGGTTGTGTCCTTGGAACCACTACTGGTTTTCAGTTCTCCTGACCGTCTCCACAGGTGAGGATTTCTAGGGCTAGCTGTCTTAGAGACACGCAGGGACACACACATTGTCTCCCACTTCTACATCTGGAGAATGCATGACAAAGGTTCTTCAACTATCAAACACTCCTGACCACCAGAGTTTTGAGGGATTTGATTAGAAATATTTTTGATATTTCAAAAATATGTGAACTGGCCACACACATTGGTTCACACCCAGCACTTTGGGAGGCCAAGGCGGGAAGATTGCTTGATGCCAGGAGTTTGAGATGAGACTGGACAACACAGAAAGACCCTGTCCCTACAAAAAAATATAGCCAGGCATGGTGGCGCATCTGTAGTCCTAGTTACTTTGGAGGCTAAGGAAGGAGGATCACTTGAGCCCATGGGTTCGAGGTTATGGTGAACTATGATCACACCGCTGCAGTCCAGCCTGGGTAATACAGTGAGATCTTATCTCAAATGAATAAATCAATCTACACACACACACACACCCACACACACACGCACACCCACACACAAATTTATTTTGACATTAATAGTAATTTGAAGTTTATAGGGAGCCTTACCTGGCAGTAAATTATATTTTTAATTAATAAAAAATGTAGGAAATAGCCGGGCGCGGTGGCTCAAGCCTGTAATCCCAGCACTTTGGGAGGCCGAGGCGGGTGGATCACGAGGTCAAGAGATCGAGACCAGCCTGGTCAACATGGTGAAACCCCGTCTCTACTAAAAATACAAAAAATTAGCTGAGCATGGTGGCGTGTGCCTGTAATCCCAGCTACTCAGGAGGCTGAGGCAGGAGAATTGCCTGAACCCAGGAGGCGGAGGTTGCGGTGAGCCGAGATCACGCCATTGCACTCCAGCCTGGGTAACAAGAGCGAAACTCCGTCTCAAAAAAAAAAAAAAAAAAAAAAAAAAAAAAAAAAAAAAATGTAGGAAATAAAGTAATAATGTGTTACTTAATGACTCCAGTTTGCTTAGTCGAAAAGAATGTTTCAAAACATGGTGGTGATGATGATGGCAAGAGTAGTAAGAGGTAAGAAATGTGAAGTTCCTGGGACCCCAGATAACCCTGGATTCCTTCTGGCCTTTTGTGAGTCTATGCCATGCATTTATGTCAGCCTATGTTTTGCGAATAGGCTCATGCTAATGTTTTTCCCTGTATTAATTTTTTTTTCAAATCCTACTCATTCTTAGAATTTCAAATAGGATTGTGTGGGGCAAAAAGTGAAAGTGCCTCTTGTGTACCACTGTTAAGTCTGTATGTACCTCTCACTTTTTCTCTGTATATATATTCATGCTTATTGGTAAGAAATCTTCCAAGTACACTACACTGCCACCTTGTCTGTCCTTGTTTTTTTCCCCTGGACTTGCACAATTCAACAGGGCTGTCTAGTTTCTTTCTCCAGGGTAAGGGCCAACATCAGTGCTGATTGGCTGGTACCTGTGCCAGACTCATTAAATATTTTGAATACCATTCCTGAGTTTCTCATATATATATTTAAAAAAAACCCACAAATGGAATAATAAGATACATGTTATGGCCAGGTGCAGTGGCTCATGCCTGTAATCCCAGCACTGTGGGAGGCTGAGGTGGGCGGATCACTTGAGGTCAAGAGTTTGAGACCACCAGCCTGGCCAACATGATGAAACCTCATCTCTACTAAAAATACTAAAACTATCTGGGCATGGTTGTGGGTGCCTGTAATCCCAGCTACTTGGGAGGCTGAGGCAGGAGAATTGCCTGAACTCAGGAGGCGGAGGTTACAGCGAGCCGAGACTGCACCACTGCACTCCAGCCCAGGCAACAAGAGCAAAAAAAAAAAAAAAAGAGAGACTGTTATTTGTATGTTGTTTTTCACTTTAAAAATATATATGTCTTAGGTACCTTTTTTCATTAGCACACAAAGATATACTTTATTCTTTGTAATGGTTGCATAGTGTTTCATTGTAGAATACACGATACATAATCTATTCAATCATTACTCAATTGGTAGATATTTAGGTTATTCTAATTTTAATAGTATACATAATTCTGTAGCAAAAAATTCTGATTCCCACATTTTTGGAGGACTTTAAATTTTGATATATGCTGCCAAATTATTTTGCTAGAAGGCTGTTTGAAACTGCCCATTTTCCCACTTTTCACCAATTTAAAACAACTATTTAATTTTGGCCAGTATAATAATTTAAAACATGTAATTTTTATGACCATGTTGGTAAGGTTGTTTATATGTTTAACTGGCAATATTTTTTTTATTCTATGAGTTATCTCATCTTTTGTCCACTCTTTTGGGTTGTTCTATCATTTATTTGTAAGCACTCCTTATAAATTAATGTCACTAATACTGTATCATTACATTGCATGTTTTTAGTCTGTTCTTTGTTTTTTAACCGCACTTATTATGTTTTCACCACGTATGTTTTAAAATTTTATGTAATCTTGTGTTTTTTTGTCTTTTGGGTTTCATGCCATGCTTACCTACACTTTCATCACCCTGCTCCCCTTTAAGAAATAAAGGTAAAGCTCTCTCACCTAAGGGAATTGTCAGGACCCTGAATCACAGATGCATCTTCTAAACTAAGTAGAAGGTTAATGATTCACTCTCCTTGGTGAAATGGGGCAGGGATTATTAATTTGGGGGCCTGTGAAGAGATTTTGGGGGACTGGGAACTTACATCTTTGTTTTTACTAGCTGTTAATCAAAATGTATAATTTCTTTCAATGCTGAATGTAGGCCACCAACCACAGCAGTGTTAGTAGAACCTGTGACTTTGTCATTAATTATTAGTTTTTTTCTATCACATTAAAGTTATTACAGGTATCTTGAAATATTGTTTACACTCTTACTACTTTTAGATCAGATGCTAGGTCTTGCCATTTAATACATTAATAAACAAAAGTGCTACTATTTTACACATTTTCTTATGTTTTTATAGCTATATTTTCAATAGGTTGATGTCCTCTGTAATTCTATGTTTTACTTTGTGCATTTAAAACCATTCTTAGGCCAGGTGCAGTGGCTCACGCTTGTAATCCCAGCACTTTGGGAGGTCAAGGCAGGTGGATCATAAGGTCAGGAGTTCGAGACCAGCCTGACCAACATGGTAAAACCCTGTCTCTACCAAAAATACAAAAATTAGCTGGGCATGGTGGCATGCACCTATAGTTCCAGCTACTGGGGAGGCTGAGGCAGGAGAATGGCTTGAACCTGGGAAGCAGAGGTTGCAGTAAGCTGAGATAGCGCCACTGCACTCCAGCCTGGTGACAGAGCGAGACTCTGTCTCAAAATAATAATAATAATAATAATAATAATAATAATAATAAACCATTCTGAGGAAAGGGTATGGGCTTCATCAAACTGCCAAAGGGGAATCACTCCTCCACAGGCAAGAGTCCAGGCAGGAGGCAGCTGGTGCAGCTCCTTCCAGATCCCACCCCCATCACTGACAGCCAATGACTGGCCAGATCACAGCCAGCCCACCACACCTGAGGCGAGGCTTAACCAGCTGCTCATTTTCATTTCTGCTGAAGGGACCTTTTCCTGAGCAAGGAGGTCTTTTCGGTAAGTGCTCAGACTTTCTTCCAAGTGATCTTTTCCGGGATTGGGCTAAAATGCAGGATCTGCCTAAGAAAGAGTTTCCTCTCAGATCCTGCCAGTTCTAGACATGTTGGAGTACAGGTCTTTTGTTGCCAGGTTCTTAGGTTTTTCAGGAGAAATCAGCAAACCAGATTTTATGTAAAATCCCCCACTGACTGTATGCCTGCTTAACTATACACCAACACAGAAAACCCAACAATACGATTTTGACTTAAAATCACCTCAGGGCTCATTAGCGGTGGGCATCCCAGTGCTGGGAGACCTGTCCCATACACCTCGGATACATTTCCCCTCAGGAGAGGTGTGATGCCAGCAGTTGGCAGCAGAGGGCACTCCTATCACAGGCTGCCCAGGCTGTGTTCCATTTGCTAAGGTGTAGGAGAGAGACCATCTGTGAAAGGGGCTGAGGTGGGTCAGAGGGTGGGTGCCTAGTACTGGGCTAAGGAGGGAGTGATGGGCCACAGGCATATTGAAAATCCATCCTCCTGTCCTCCCACCCAGCAGTTATGGGCCACCCTACCCAGGGTGACAGGAGTGTCTCCTGGACTAGCCAGCTAGGGCCAGTCTCCCTTGGTCTATGCATCTGTCCACACGGCTGATGCCAGATCTTGTGTGTGCTGCATAGAGGTGGGCAGCAGAGAGCCATAGCTTTCCAGTGCCAAGTGATCTAGTCCTCTATAACCTGTTGGTATCCTTGGGACTAAGAACAGAACTTGGCACATAATAGGCACTCAATAACTCTTACCTGTGTTGAGTGTTGAACTAAGGCCCAGGAAGGGAAGCGTGTGAGAACTCCATGCATGAGGTCTTGGTCAGCTCAAATTGGAGGATTTGGTTTTTGGCTAAGGCAGATCTGGGTGCATGCCAAGTCTACTTTCTCACACCAGCCCTGCAAAGAAGGGCACCCTATTTACACATAGGGAAATTGAGGCTGGTGGAAATAATGCACACAAACACACACAAAGGTCCCCTCAGAACTACTTTCTGCAAACTTCAGGGATCCAGTGGGAAGAGAACTGAGAAGCAAATGTCCCTGGTGATTTCACAGTGTGAAGTCAGGAAAGCATACCACTGACTTCTAGGCCCCAGGCAAGGCCTACAGATAACTTAGCTTATTTGGTTCTAACAACTCTTCTAGGTAGAGTTTATTTTTCCCATTTTACAGATGAGAAAAATGAAGGTCAGAGAAGTTACGTGATTTTCCCAGAAATGGAATTGCTGGATCTTTTGGCAATTCCGTGTTTAATTTTTTGAGGAACTACCATTCCGTTTCCACAGTAACAGCAGCATTTTAACATTCCCACCAGCGACGCACAGCAGTTCCAGTTTGTCTACATGTCCTTGCCAACGCTTGGTCCTACACACATTTGCTTTGGCTGCCTCAAAATGTAGAGCTTGACAGATTGAGACTGCGGTGGAAGAAAGCTTTTGAAATGGAAAAAAAGGAAAGACCGAGGGAAGGCGAAGAGTTGGGGGGTGGGGGAGAGACAGAGACGCGGAGAAGGAGACTTCCCACAAAACAGAATCTCAGCAAAACAACTACTGGCTATGGGACGAGATCAGGGACTAACGGTAGGAGAAAAAAATACATTTTTCAGTCCTGGGTTTCCCAGTTGGCATCCCCAGGGCAAACCAGCAAGTTGGGAGGGTGGGGTGGTGGTGGGTGGGGGCTACGGAGGGAAGGTGGCTGCCGTCTGTCTGACCAGACCTGGAGCACAACCAAAGAACTCTCCTAGCTTGGGGCCCGGTCAGGAAGAAACCAGGACGGTCCCTTTAGTTTAGGAGGGGTGGGTAGGGCTAGCTGCCCGGGTGGCTGCGGCCGCCCCTGTACAGCAGGCCAGCGAGTGCACCGGAGGCAGGGTGTGGAGAGACCGGAGCAAGTCCAGGAAACCACTCGCTTGGATCCTGGATTTTGCTAACGGATTAAACGTGGCATTCCCTCCTTCCCCCTCCGTTGCAGACCTAAAAATAGCTCATCCCAGAGGGGCCGGGAGAGGCTCCACCTCTTCATGAGGTGGGGCGGGGCGGCTGCAGTGGAGCGGGAGGCGCCGGGGACCCCAGCCACGAGCTGCCTGCGCACTGAGGCGCTCTCCGCCCCGCGGGTTGGCGGCACTGGGGTGGGCGGGCAGGCTTTGCGTCCGCCGCAGGGAGCGCCAGGGCTGCGGGGGGCTGGGGAAGCATCCCGGGGCCGGCGGGCGGTAAGCATTCCGGGAACCGCCTCTGGGCTGTCTGGGGCGGTGGAGCAAGTTTGGAAGCGGGACGCGGGGCGAGGAGGGGAGCCGGTACCTCGAGACGTCTTCCCGCCGTCCCCGGCTCCAGGCGACCCCGTGGTGAGCGGGCCGCGCGGGTAAACTATGCCAGGAATTCATCCCGGGAGCTGGGCGGGTGGGTAGCGTGGCTGCAGTCCGAGCGGTCAGGGCTGCGGGATGTTAAACATTAGCGGCTTCGGACGCCCTGCCGAGGTGCAGCTGGGCGCTGGAGGAGCCGGCGGCGTGCGTCTGCGCTGCCCAGGGCGCGCCCTTCCGGCGCCGGCGCCGCCCTGCACCCGGGACCCTTCGGCCTGCTCCGAAACGCGGCGCTGCGGGCGGGAAGGAGGCGCGCGGGGGCGATGAAGGCGGGAGCAGGAATGACGGATGCCCCAAGACTCGGCTTCACTGGGAAGAAGGCCTTAGGTTTTTACTTTTTGAAAAAAGAAAAGTGATTGGGGAGGGTTTGATGATCTGAGTGCCACAGGTAAAGGAGGATCTTTGTTTTAGTAATGAAGTGATTTAAAAACAGACATATTGACATATTTCGTCCCCCCTCTTCCTCTCCTGGGCTGGGCTTCAGCAGGAGGCAGACGTGGTATTTTCATTCTGAGGTGGCTGCGAATAAAGTTCACAGAAGACCTGGTCAGTGCAGGGCAGAGGTCCAGGAGGTAGGGCAGGGCGGGGGCGGGGCGGGGGGTGGGGGTCCGAGGGGGCCTGGGTAGGGCCTAGTTCACGAAGCACATCTTAGGGGCCCAGGGCCTAGGTTGCCCTGCCTGGTCTCCTGGAGTTCGATTTCTTTCTTTCTTTCTTTTTTTTTTTTTTTTTTTGAGACAGAGTTTTGCTCTTGTTACCCAGGCTGGAGTGCAATGGCGCCATCTTGGCTCATTGCAATCTCCACCTCCTGGGTTCAGGCAATTCTCCTGCCTCAGCCTCCTGAGTAGCTGGGATTACAGGCATGCGCCACCATGCCCAGCTAATTTTTTTGTGTTTTTAGTAGAGACGGGGTTTCACCATGTTGACCAGGATGATCTCCATCCTTGACCTCATGATCCATTCGCTTCAGCCTCCCAAAGTGCTGGGATTACAGGCTTGAGCCACCGTGCCCGGCCCTGGAATTCGATTTCTAACAGGACTTTGGTGAGAGGCCTGGGAAGTACGGGTGTTCTGACCTGGTCTCTCACACCCCCATCTGCAGATAGGGTGGGTGATCTCTCCGTTCCCAGCCGCAGCCCCTAACACCTCTCCACACCCCTCCCGGTTGTGAGGACTGGCCAGTGAGAACAACCCTGCTTAGGGAAGGCTGATCCTCCAGTCAAGTGGCTGATAAGGGGCCTTTTGTCATCTCGGTTAGCACCAAGGATCTGGAGACATCTCCTTCATCTGGAAATATTTTTTTGATATTATCTAACTTGATAAAATGGCCTCATGAGGTTGTATGCTTCAGGTTGGGAACAGAAACCTGAATTCATGTGGGCACCATAACTGTGGGTTGTGCCACGGAGCTGATACTTGATCAAAAGGTTTGTTGCTCAACTCAAATTGATGGGGACAGGGAAGGGCTGCGCTGAGCCTTCGTGTGGACTCCCTGCAGAGATGGTCAGTCTCGGCCAGCCTGGCTAGGCACTTGCAGTGTCTCCTAGGTCTGGCAACTCTAGTAGTTCTGGCTGAGTCACTGAAGATGAACTCTTTCCTTCATGGCAAAGAAGATGCTAGTATGTTCTAAGCCAGTTTTCTTTTACATGTACTTGCTTGTTTTACAGTTCTGCATCTGGGAAGATAGGTCATGTCATTTCAGCACTGATTCCTCTTCTCTAAAGCACTCCCAAGGGACATCAGTCAAATACCTACCCCTGTTTTTATTTTAAAGAAAATCCTTTTGTGGCAAAAACTTAATAGTCTTTTGATAAAATCATGGCCACTTAAAAATATCTCCTTGGGCCGGGCGCGGTGGCTCAAGCCTGTAATCCCAGCACTTTGGGAGGCCGAGGCGGGTGGATCACGAGGTCAAGAGATCGAGACCATCCTGGTCAACACGGTGAAACCCCGTCTCTACTAAAAATACTAAAAATTAGCTGGGCATGGTGGCACGTGCCTGTAATCCCAGCTACTCAGGAGGCTGAGGCAGGAGAATTGCCTGAACCCAGGAGGCGGAGGTTGCGGTGAGCTGAGATCGTGCCATTGCACTCCAGCCTGGGTAACAAGAGTGAAACTCCGTCTCAAAAAAAAAAAAAAAAAAAAAAAAACTCCTTGAAGTTGCTGGGAATAGGAGGCCAGCTGTAAGGAGAGCTCTGTGCCTGGTGGAGGGGACCTCTGACTTGTTGCTTGAAGGTTCTAGGAGTGGGTGCAGCCCCCATGAGGGTCAGGGAAGAGTGGAAAGGGAACTTTTTTTTTTTTTTAAATAACAGAATCTGACAATAAGTCTAGGGTCTGCAGTGGAAATACTCCAGGAGATCCCCCAGGTCTCCGTCATCTCCATTGAGGTCTCTGGAGCTCCCTTGCGTACTGTCTGTGCATAGCCTGTTTGCAAACTGTGCAAAGGTTTCCTTGGCAGCTACAACAATAAGCGTTAATGACACGCCTGAGCTCCCCCAGCAGGCACCGTTGAACTTAGCTTGGAAGCCAGGGCAGGTTTGTCAATGATTGCCTGGCAGCCACCTTGGAAACTTGGCTCCCTCAAGTCCTCCTCTTGACTGCATTCTTGAGGAAGCAGAAGAGACAGTGAGGTGGCAGTGTTGTTGTTGTTGTCTAGCTGTCAGTTTATGTTAAAAAAAAAATAAGGTGTTTGGCCAATTTTGAGGAAGTTATCTTTGACAGATTATCGATGGGCAGGTTTTACAGGGACTGTTTCACGGTGGGATGGCTGCCTTGTGAGGTGGTGAACAGTGTGTCACTGGGAGTGTGCAAAGCAAGGGTGGTAGATGGGTTTTCTATATGCTAGATGGGTGTGGGATTATCCCAGGCAGAAACCAACTCTTAATGATGAAGCAACTTTGAATGTTAGCACAAATATTCTTTTGGGTCCCTAATTTATAATATTGGTCTAGGATTGGGAAGTTTTCCAAGACCCTGTCAATATATTTAAAGGTGATTAAACAGCTTCAGTTTTCTTAATGATAGCGAGTCTTTTTTGTTGTTGTTTTTTTGAGACAAAGTCTCACTCTGTCGCCCAGGCTGGAGTGCAATGGCATGATCTCAGCTCTTTGTAACCTCTGCCTCCCGGGTTGAAGAGATTCTCCTGCCTCAGCCTCCTGAGTAGCTGGGACTACAGGTGTGTGCCACCATGCCCAGCTGATTTTTGTATTTTTAGTAGAGATGGGGTTTCACCACGTTGGCCAGGCTGATTTTGAGTTCCTGACCTCAGGCGATCCGTCTGCTACAGCGTCCCAAAGTGCTGGGACTTCAGGCATGAGCCACCGTGCCCGACCAACCGTGAGACATTTCTACCTTGTGTTTCTATTCCCAGATGTAGGAAAAGCAGTCTGCTCACGATTCAGTCTGGAGAAAGCACGATGTGCTTGCCCCTGGGGTGTATGTTTCCAGGTAACGTGCAACACTCTCATTTGGCTCTTTGTTCTGCCTATCCTAATCAGGACGCAAGCTGTGGAGCTGAGTCAGGTTCAGACAAGCCCTGCTGAAATACATGGCGAATTTAGAATCTGCAGCACTAACCCTGTCGTGATTTGCTGTAACCTCTGTCAGTGCTTGCACATTGGTCAAGAAAACTCAGGTATTGTAATTTCCAAAATGGGAAATAATTTGTATATCATCATTATCATACTTAGTTTAGCATAATTCAAAAGCTCTGGAGTCTGATAGAACTTGGTTCGAATCTTGACTTCACTATTTAGTAGCTGAGTGAGCAGGGCCCTTAGCTTCTCTGAGCCCCAGTTTCTACATCTGTGAGATGAGACAAACCATAGCCATCTACAAGGCTATATGAGTTTAGAATTAGTACTTTTAAAGGCTGGCACAGTGTTTGGCCTATAGATGTTTGATAAATGTTAACTATTATACTATTCATGTCATCATAATCATCTTCAAGTTCCCACATTTGTGCTCCATTTTTTTTTTTTTTTTTTTGAGATGGAATTTCGCTCTTGTTGCCCAGGCTGGAGTGCAGTGCAGTGGTGTAGTCTCGGCTCGTAGCTCACTGCAACCTCCACCTCCCAGGTTCAAGCTGTTCTCCTGCTTCAGCCTTCCAAGTAGCTGGGATTATAGGCACCTGCTGCCATGCCCAGGTAATTTCTGTATTTTTAGTAGAGATGGGTTTCACCATGTTGGCCAGGCTGGTCTTGAACTCTTGACCTCAGGTGATCTGTCTGCCTCGGCCTCTTTAAGTGCTGGCATTACAGGTGTGAGCCACCCCGCCTGGCCCTCCTCCGTTTTATAATGCCAGAGCTCTAGGAATTCTAAGAGTTGGACCCTTAGGGTTCTAGAAAAAGACGTGAGTCATACTTTTGCGTTAAAACCTCGTGAACTCAGACTCCTAATTCTGCGTGGCTGGGAGTGGGGCTGTCACCCTCTGTGTTTATAGAGTATGCGCAGAGTTTAAGTATGAAGGTTTGAGGGCTGTTCAGGAAGCAAGCTCCAACACCGAGGCCATATCTTGACAGTCAGCTTGGGCACTGCAGCTTCTCACCAGTATGCCTGAGTCCACCTGCAAGGGCTCCTGCACTCTAAGCTCTTATTAGTAGCCCATGGGATTAATCTCCAGATGCAGATGGTCAACAAATCAAGCATTTACTAAGTCTAAATGGCATTTCCTTCCAATGAGTCTGAATGAGGGATCCCTAACTCAGCTTTTACTCTTTATCCTAACTCTTGGTGGTCTATAGCCCCATTTCTTCAAGACTCCAAGAATATAGAATTTTAAGTCAGATATTCTGAGATTTCAACAATTTTGCTCAGTTTAGTAGCAATCTGGGTGCCAGGCAATGGGCTAGGGGCTGGGATATAGCAGATACAAATAAGCCATGGTCTCAGCCCCTGTAAAGTTCATAGCTAGGGGAGTGGGAGAGGAAGGAGATAGAAGTGTCCTGGGTTTCCAGAGAACCCTTTCCCAGCTCCTGTCTTGACACTTACCACTCTGTGGGGGTAATTTCCGTGTATTTTACTGTCTTTCCAGAAAAAAACAAAAAAACTTCGGAGCCATCTACTATCACTTACTGGTTGTGTGATTGTGGGAAAATCATTTCCCCTCGTTCTTTCCTCTGTTTCCTCTCTTTGTTCATTCTGTTTCTTCGTCTGTATAGAAGGTTGTCGTGAGAATTAAATGAGATAATACGTGTAAAACCTTAGCACTGTGTGTGGAAAAATAATAGAATTCCAGGAATGTGAACTATTCTTATTAACAATGGCAGGGATAGTTAGCCAGGTCATCACTGATCCTGAGTGCTAGTCATGATGCCTGGTACTTAGTAGGGCCTCAGGAATCATTCGTTGATGGGATGGAGATATGAATGTTGCAGAGCCACCCTAACAGGCCAAAGTGTATGCTTTGTCCTCTAGAAGGCCAGGAGTGGGGCAGGGAATTTTGACTGTGAGCCTAGCAGGGATATATGATGGTAATCATTTATTTATTTATTTATTTTATTTTTAATTTTACTTCAAGTTCTGGGATACATGTGCAGAGCATGCAGGTTTGTTACATAGGTATACATGTGCCATGGTGGTTCGCTACACCTATCAACCCATCATTTAGGTTTTAAGCCCCGCATGCATTAGGTATTTGTCCTAAAGCTCTCCCTTCCCTTGTTCCCCAACACCCAACAGGCCTCGGTGTGTGATGTTCCCCTCCTGGTGTCTGTGTGTTCTCATTGTTCATCTCCCACTTATGAGTGAGAACATGCAGTGTTTGGTTTTCTGTTGCTGTGTTAGTTTGCTGAGAATAATGGTTTCCAGCTTCATCCATGTCCCTGCAAAGGACATGAACTCATCCTTTTTAATGGCTGCATAGTATTCCATGGTGTATATGTGCCACATTTTCTTTATCCAGTCTATCACTGATGGGCATTTGGGTTGGTTCTCAGTCTTTGCTATTGTAAATAGTGCTGTAATAATCATATACGTGCATGTGTCTTTATAGTAGAATGATTTATAATCCTTTAGGCATACACCCAGTAATAGGATTGCTAGGTCAAATGGTATTTTTGGTTCTAGATCCTTGAGGAATTGCCACACTGTTTTCTACAATGGTTGAACTAATTTATGTTCCCATATGGTGGTAATCATTTACAAGCAGGGCCTTGAAAAATGCATCGACCTTTAGTTGGAGCAGAAGGAGGTGGCGAAGGGCCATCTATACCAAGAGGCACTATGGAATAGAGGCTAGGAGGCCAGACTGGAGCCAGGCGCCTCAGTGTGAATCTTGCCTCTGGACCTTGGGCAAGTGTCTTTATTTCTCTGTGGCTTAGATGATGATAGTACTTCCTCAAGGGTTTGTCCGGAGAAATATATAAGTGATTCTTTGTAAAGCATTTAAAAACAGTGCCTATGAATTAAATAAACAGCCCAGAGGTATTAAAGTGTGGAAGGAAGTAATATGGAAAATGGGAGATGCATCTAGAAAGGTAGGTTTGGAAACAGTTCATCAAAGTCTTTGAATATCACTCAATGTATTTGGAATTAGCCAGTAAGGAAAAAAAATCCATTCCCCTATGGCTGGAGCTCAATAGTGGTTTCCCACTTTAAACAGGGCCTGTACTCTTAGGTTCCCCACAATCCCTAATGTTCACTAGCCCAATACTCCACAGGTTAGTGGTTCTAAGTCAGTAAGTCTGGGGATCTGTATTTCTAACAAATTCCCAGGTGACGTTGATGATGATGCTGGTCCAGAGACCACACTTTGGTAACTAGTGCCTTATTGTATCTTGGACACTAAGATGGGGAATGAGTTGCCATTTATCAGGCCTCCCCAAACTACGGCCCGCGGGCCACATGCGGCCCCCTGAGGCCATTTATCTGGCCCCCCGCCGCATTTCAGGAAGGGTCACCTCTTTCATTGGTGGTCAGTGAGAGGAGCACAGTATGTGACAGCCCTCCAACGGTCTGAGGGACAGTGAACTAGCCCCCTGTGTAAAAAGTTTGGGGACGCCTACCATTTATCATCAAGCATGCACTGTGGTTTTTTTCACACCTGCTACATTTTGTGCATTAATGTTACTTTTCTGGCCCTAATGGAACTTGGGTTTACAGTTCCTGGCATAACCAGTATGGAAGGGTTGGATATAAGATCTCAAGAGACTGGAGGGGCTAGAGAGAAAGAGATTTGGGAATGACTGAAGCTCAGCCTAGACTGAACCTGTGGTAGCTGAAGCTGTGAGCTCATTCCTAGGGATAGCGTGCAGGGAGAAATGGGGTGCAGGTGGACAGCAGAATATCAAGGGGGCACTGGCACATCCTGTCGTAAAAGAAAGGGGAAAGAATAGTCACTGATAAGGAAGAGGATTCAAAGAGGTAGGAGGAGAGATGAGAGAGAGAGTGGCTGATGGAGAGTTATTGACTTATTATAGACAGAGGTCTGTTGGCAAACATCTGAGGCCAAGCTTAAATAGTTAAACAGTAAAGTTCTGAGGTGAGCTCACTTGAGAGCTGGGCCATCAGGAAGCTGGTGTCCTGTTACCCTTGCCCACTGCATGCCTGGTAACCTGCTGTTGCTCCGAGGCACAGCTTGTTGTGAGCAATTGTCTCTGAGGCTCCGGTGTCACATTTGCAGTTTTGGAGATAAGCATGGTGAGTATCATGTCGCCCGACTCCGTTTTTTTTCCCCATAACATGGCACATTAGGTAGAAATGTGCTAGTCTTTTCATTGCCATGGTAGGGGTGCTTATGTCTGGCTGTTTTCCTTTTTGGAGTACTTGTTGGGCAAGAGTATCTGAGAAAGGGAAGGATGAAGCTGAAACTGAAAAGGTGGGCCAGTGGTATCCTGTAGGCAGTCTCAAGACCAGGCTAAGAGGTTTGCATTTGGTACAGTGGGAATAGGGAGCCATGCTGAACTCCAGGATGGGGAGCAGCTGTGTGGTTAATATAGCCTCATAGCCCAGGACCTGATCTTAGAGTGGGCCCACACAGGCATACTATAAATGAGGAGTGAGTAAATGGAAGAAGTGGAAGTTTAAGGGATAAAGGGTGATAATCTGATTAAAGCAAAATTTTAGGAGGAGTAGCCTCAAGAATCAACATTGAGCCGGGCGTGGTGGCTCAAGCCTGTAATCCCAGCACTTTGGGAGGCCGAGGTGGGTGGATCACGAGGTCGAGAGATCGAGACCATCCTGGTCAACATGGTGAAACCCCGTCTTTACTAAAAATACAAAAAATTAGCTGGGCATGGTGGTGTGTGCCTGTAATCCCAGCTGCTCAGGAGGCTGAGGCAGGAGAATTGCTTGAACCCAGGAGGCGGAGGTTGCGGTGAGCCGAGATCGTGCCATTGCACTCCAGCCTGGGTAACAAGAGCGAAACTCCATCTCCAAAAAAAAAAAGAATCAACATTGAGTAGTTCAGAGTCCATAAGCTTTGGTGCCAGATGATCCTACAATTACACTTCAAACCTGGTCTCCTGTTTTCATCCATTTTGTACTGCTGCAACAGAATAACACAGACTGGGTAATTTTTAAAGAAAAGAAAATAATTTCTCACAGTTCTGGAAGCTTGAAGTCCATTATCAATGTGCTGGCACTGGGCAAGGGCCTTCTTGCTGTATTATGTCTTAGTGGAGAGCAGAAGGTCAAGAAAGCACAAGAGCAAGGGGGAAGGGGACAGAATTCCTTCATTCCTCAGGAACCTACTCCTGTGGTAACTAACCCACCCCTACAATAATGACATTCATCCATTCATGAGGGCAGAGTCTTCATGACTTAATTACCTCTTAAAGGTCCCACCTCTCAACACTGCTGCATTGGGGATGAAGCTTTCAACATATGACCTTTGGGGGATGCCACTGAACCACTCCAGAAGTCAATTTCCTTATTTGTAAAAGGAGAATAATAATACATCTTTGTAGATTTGTATTCGGAGTTTGTATCTAGCATAGAGGGCGGCACTCCCTGCAGACTTGACAGTGTTAATCACTGAGCACCTTCCCCTCGCATTTTCTCGAAGTCTCATGGCACCCTGTGAGGTAGGCAGGGCTGGCCTGTCACCACCTTTCACGGAAGAAGATAGTGGCTCATTGGGGTCAGGGGCTGTTCCCGGAGGCCCTTCTCTCTCTCTCTCTCTCTCTCTCTCTTTTTCTCTCGCTCGCTCGCTCGCTCTTTTTTTTTTTTTTGCCAACCTAGTCCTACCTTTTTTGTTGTTGTTGTTGTTGAGATGAGTTTCGCTCTTGTTACCCAGGCTGGAGTGCAATGGCACGATCTCGGCTCACCACACCCTCTGCCTCCTGGGTTCAGGCAATTCTCCTGCCTCAGCCTCCTGAGTAGCTGGGATTACAGGCACGCGCCACCATGCCCAGCTACTTTTTTGTATTTTTAGTAGAGACGGGGTTTCACCATATTGGTCAGGATGGTCTTGATCTCTTGACCTTGTGATCCACCTGCCTCGGCCTCCCAAAGTGCTGGGATTACAGGCTTGAGCCACCGCGCCCGGCCGTCCTACCATTTTTTAAGGCCCTCCTTCATGAAGCTGATGACTTCTCTGGCTTTTTATTGCACTAAAAAGTCTGAATCATGTAATGTTGAAATAACTTGATTGAATAGGGTAACATGTACCTCTTGTTGCCTTAGTCAGATTCTCACTTCAGCAAGAGCTGAAATTCTATTTTTTCTTTTGAAAAAATAATAAAAGTGATAGAAGATGATGAGAAGAACTTTGAATAGTACAGAGAGGTGGAAAGTGAAAAATAAAAGTCCTCTAATTTCCATTCTCACTTCCGAGAGGTAGACATTGCTTTTTTTTGTTGTTGTTGTTGAGGTGGGAGTATCGTTCTGTTGCCCAGGCTGCAGTGCAGTGGCACCATCTTTGCTCACCACAACCTCCACTTCCTGGGTTCTTGCGATTTTCCTGCCTCAGCCTCCTGACTAGCTGGGATTACAGGTGAGTGCCACCATGACCAGCTAATTTTTGTGTTTTTAGTAGAGACAGCGTTTCACCATGTTGGTCAGGCTGGTCTCAAACTCCTGAGCTTGTCATCTGCCTGTCTTGGCCTCCCAAAGTGCTGGGATTATAGGTGTGAGCCACTGCATCTGGCTGGTAGCCATTGCTAATAGCTTCTTGTTTATCTTTCCAGAAACAGTCTATGCTTATGAAATATACCTAAGTAAATCATATATGAGTCATAAATGAGCATATTTTATTATAAAACAAATTATAACAAATATGAGTCTTTCGTGTGTGTGTGTATATATATGTATGTTGACTCTCCTTATCTGTGGATTCTACATCTATAGATTGAACAAACTGCGGATTAAAAATATTTGAGGCTGGGCGCAGTGGCTCAAGCCTGTAATCCCAGCACTTTGGGAGGCCGAGGTGGGTGGATCACGAGGTCAAGAAATCGAGACCATCCTGGTCAACATGGTGAAACCCCGTCTCTACTAAAAATACAAAAAGTTAGCTGGGCATGGTGGCACATGCCTGTAATCCCAGCTCCTCAGGAGGCTGAGGCAGGAGAATTGCCTGAACCCAGGAGGCGGAGGTTGCGGTGAGCCGAGATCGCGCCATTGCACTCCAGCCTGGGTAACGAGCGAAACTCCGTCTCAAAAAAAAAAAAAATTGAAAAAAAAAAAGGATAGTTTCTTCTGTACTGAACATGTACAGACTTTTTTTCTTGTAATTATTCCTAAATAATTACATATAACAGCTATTTTTAAAGCATTTACATTGTATGAGGTGTTATAAATAATCTGGAAATGATTTCAGATGTATGGGAGAATATGCATAGGTTATATGCAAATATTTCACGATTTTATAAAAGCGATTTGAGCATCTGTAGATTTTGGTATCTGAGGAGGGTCCTGGATACTGAGGGATGACTGAATATGTATACATATGATTATCATCGCTGGTCTGTGAAGGCCTATCAGTCTGTCTATTTGACCATCACTACCCACACACCACCCGTCTTCATTCATCCCCATTCCACACTCCCATTTCCCTCCTTCCTCTTGTAGACAACTATCCTATATGATATATATCTTTCATTTTTGTGAGTTATTAAATATGATTATATTAATATGTCATTAAAACAGAAATAGAGGTATAAATGCCTACTTTGTATGTTTACATATGTATCTTCATATGTATCTTGGAGATTATCATTTCATATCAGTACATGTAAGTCTGCCTTATACCAATCAATAGCTGCATAATATTTCATTGCATAGAGATACATTGTACTTTGCTTTCTTCTACCTTTTCTTGTAGTTTGCTTTTATAAAGGATACCACAATGACCATTTTTTCACAAGTACCTTTGTATATATGAGTTTGTAGCATAAATTGTAATTCTTTGTAGTGGAATATTCAAAATTCCTGTTGATACTGTCAAGTTAGTCTTCAGAGAGAATAGTTTGTATGTTCACCAAGAGTTTGGAGAGTACAAACAGAGTCTTGGCAAACAAACTGGAGCTCTTTGTGCTTAACTGTTAAGTTAAAAAAAAAAAGCCCATCATGGATTGAGCATCATGTGGCAGAGACTCCATGGCTCTCTTAAGCCCCTTCTAACAGAGGTGGCCATCACGTCACTCATATTCCAGGAGAGAGAACTTAGTCCTATGATCACATGTTATTGCTGGAGAAGCTGGGACAGGTCGTCCACTCATGTTCCACTAGAATCCTGTAGTTACAGAAGAAGGAGAGGACAGGGTAGACATTAGGTAGCTTGGTCACTCACAGCAAGTTGTTGGTCTTTATCCTGAGATAAAAATAGGGTTGTAGAAGGACCAGTTTCTAAATTGGATAGCCACCTGCTGACAAAGGCCTTTTCCAGGCAGTCTTGCAGTGGAGGTGGGCTTTGCAGAGGGGGCTCACTGAGGACCTGCTATGTGCCAGGAACTAGGCCGGATACTTCACCTGCCTCATTCCTCACCACAGGCCTGCACAGTGGGCCTCATGTTCCTTCTTAGACACAGGAGGCTTAAACATGTGCAGGGACTTGCCCACGGCAGAGCATTCGAATCCACATCTGTGTGATTGCAAAGCCCACCTTTGCTTGCCACAGCTCTGGCCATGTGAGCACACACCATGCATGCTGAAGCTGCTGCACAATCACCTGACTTTGCCCCACTTAGGGGCTTGCTGGCCAGATGTACAGTTTGTGCAGCCACACACACCTTACCTAACTTGGACTCTTCTCATTTTCCAGGCCTTCTCTCAGCTACTTGGCCTGCTGCCGTGGCCTTGGTGCCACCTTCCTCTGGTGGTCAGCTCAGGGATTCCCCTACCCATGCAGTCCCCAGCTGCCACTGCTGAGGGCCTAAGTGGCCCCCTCTTTGGGGCTTACACGTTCCCCACCTTCAAGTTCAAGCCTCGCCGTGATAGCATGGACTGGAGGCGCATTAGCACCCTGGATGTAGACCGCGTGGCCCGGGAGCTGGATGTGGCCACTTTGCAGGAGAACATTGCTGGCATCACCTTCTGCAACTTGGAGCGGGAGGTATGCAGCCGCTGTGGGCAGCCTGTGGACCCAGCACTGCTCAAGGTGCTGCGCCTGGCGCAACTCATCATCGAGTACCTGCTGCACTGCCAGGACTGCTTGAGTGCCAGCATTGCCCAGCTGGAGGCACGGCTGCAGACCAGCCTGGGCCAGCAGCAGCGCAGTCAGCAGGAACTGGGCCGCCAGGCTGACGAGCTCAAGGGTGTGCGGGAGGAGAGCCGCCGGCGTCGCAAGATGATCAGCACCCTGCAGCAGCTGCTAATGCAGACAGGCACCCACAGCTACCACACGGTGAGAAATCTCTACTGGGTGGGGAGAGTGAGAGGGCTGTGAGCCGCAGCCACTGGGCAACTGGGGCAGCACTGCTGGTGGGGGTGCACAAGGCTGCTGGGGGCCATTCTCGGAGTGGTTAGGAGCAGATTTCGGGGATGCTGCTCTTGGCCAGAGAGCCTAGGGGTGTCTCATTAGGTTGTGTGTGTGTGTGTGTGTGTGTGTGTGTGTGTGTGTGTGTGTATGTGTGTGTTTATAGACTGTACATGTGTGGGAGGTGTGTGTATGGACTGTATGTGTTTATGGAGAGGGTGCATATATATTCATGAATGTATGAAGAGAGTGTAAATGGTGTGAATGTGTGTGTTTAATGTGTGTGTGTATGAATACTTGAAGGGTATCTCTGTGTATATTGGGTGTGCAGTGTGTAATATGTGCTTATACTATTTTATTATAAAGGGTACAACTCTGGAGCATGTATAAAAAGGTGTATTTATAGTGTTTGTGTGTGTGTGTGAATGAATGAAGGGTATATATGTGTGTAAGAGTGTGTTTGTACTTATGGAGAGTGTGGGTAAGGATGTGTATGTGTCTGAGGGTGTATTTATGGAGGGTGTGAGTGCATGCATATATACGTATGATGGAGGATTTGTGTGTATATGTAGAGGAGTGTGTTGTGTAAAGGTGTGTGTGAGGGGGGTGTGTGTGTGTGTGTATGTGTTGAATTTATGTGTGACAAGGGATTGGTGGAGCCAGGCCGATTCTGGAATACTGACTCCATTATTCAACCAAATGATAGTTCATTACCCAGAGCAGCATTGGAGCATTTGAATGTGTCTTCATGGAGGTATGGACATTTGCCCTTTAATAAAAATTGTCATGGTGGCTGGTCCTGTGCCAGGCTCTGTGGATGTGGGCACAAGTCATGCTGGTTCAGGTTTTCAACACATTCATAGTTTGTAGACGGGTGGGTTACCTATTTCTGCTCATAACACTTCTGACACTAAATGTGTGGTTTTTTCCCTCACACCAACCAATTCTCCAGTGCCAACTGGGTGCCATGCAATTCAATTCTGATGTTATCTAACGGAGTTAGCATCAGATTCCATGAGTTAAGGGATCAGTCCCACAAGACTGGCCCCACTTCAGATACCTGAGCCTCCTATACTTTTGACTAACTGGCTACAAATTGGGGGTTTCCACAACTCCATCCTGAGGTTCAATAATTTGCTAGAATGGCTCACAGAACTCAGGAAGAAGACACTATATTACCAGTTTATGATAAATGGTAGAAGTCAGAATAATCAAATGGAAGAGATGCACTTGGGGATGAGAGAGGACAAGGTATGGGAGAAGGGACTTCCCTTCCCTTTCTGTATGTGCCACCTCCTAGCACCTCAGTATTTACCAATCCGGAAACTCTCTAAATCCCATCATTTAGGGGTTTTATGAAGATTCCACCAAGCATATGTAATTGATTAAATCATTGGCTGTTGCTTATTAGTCCAGCCCCTTTTCCCTCCCTGGAGGCTGGAGGGTGGAGCTGAAAGTTCCAACCCTCTACCCATGCCTTGGTCTTTCTGGTGACCAACCCCCATCCTGGGAGGATTACCTGAGCCCTGCATCCTCATCGTAATGATAGCTGATGAGCAAAACAAAACAAAGCAGGATGGGGGTTGGTCACCAGAAAGTCATTGGTGGGGTGGGGCAGAAGGTGCCCAGCCACCAGTCATTTCATTAGCATACATTCAAAACACACTGTCTTCGTAAGTTTAGTTGCTACAAAGGAATACCCGAGGCTGGATAAGTTATAAAGAAAAGAGGTTATTTAACTCACAGTTCTGCTGGCTGGAAGGTTCAAGACTGGGCATCTGGTGAGGTCCTCAGGCTGCTTTCACTCCTGGTTAAAGGTGAAGGGGAGCTGGCCTGTGCAGATCTCATGGCAAGAGAGGAGGTAAGGGGAGAGGGAGGTGCCAGGCTCTTTGTAACAACCAGCTCTGTCAAACTCATAAGAATGAGAACTCTTTCACCCTCAAGGGAGGGCATTAATCTATATTTGAGGGATCTGCCCCTGTGACCCAAATACTTCCCAGTCTCTCAACACTGCTGCACTGGAGATTAAATTTCAACATGAGGTTTGGAAGGGACAAACTATAGCAAATCGCAAGGATCTCAGAAGCTTTTGTGTTATCAACTGGGGACTGAGACTAAATATTATTACAAAAGGTGCTTGATCACCCTTATCACTCTGAAGATAGTAAGTCATGGGTGTCCAATCTTTTGGCTTCCTTGGACCACAGTGGAAGAATTGTCTTCGGCCACACATAAAATATGGTAACATTAGTGATAGCTGATGAGCTTTAAAAAAAATTCCTAAAAAATCTCAGTGCTTTAGGAAAGTTTACAAATTTGTGTTGGGCTGCATTCAAAGCTGTTCTGGGCCATATGTGGCCCATGGGCTGCAGGTTGGACAAGCTTGTTTTAAGTGTCTTAGGAGCTCCCTGCCAGAAACTAGGAACAAAGACCCAATTTACATTCTTTTTTTTTTTTTTTTTTTTTTGAGACAGGGTCTGTGTCACCGAGGCTGCTGTGTGATCATGGCTCACCACACCCTTAACCTCCCAGGCTCAGGTGATCCTTCCACTTCAGCCTTCTGAGTAGTTAGGGCTATAGATACCTACCATCACATTCGGCTAATTTTTTGTATTTTTTGTAGAGACTGGGTTTCTCTAAGTTTTCCAGTCTGGTCTCGAACTTCTGGGCTCAAGTGATCTGCCCACCTCAGTCTCCCAAAGTTCCAGGATTATAGGTGTGAGCCACTGTGCCCAGCCTACATTCTTATTACATCACAATATTACAGTGGGACAGAAGGAATCATTATGCTATATTATTAATTGATAACAAATTGATATAATTGATATAATATTTATGATTAAAAGGGTCAGAACCCTTTTAGTATTAAGTCCTGTTGACATACCTGGTTGCTAGGAAGGCTGGGACATAGAGTGTTTATTCTTATTGACCACAGGACTATTACCAAGGAAGAAAGGGAAAATGGGTGTTAGGGGACAACTGGCAATTCTGTCACAATTGTCTGCAAAGATAGCAAATAATCTGCCTATAACTGATTAACTAGCAATGGCAGCCTCCGAAGCTGTGTTGAGAAGAATTCTGAAATTTTACAGTGAGAAGACAGTATGATAGATTGGTCATGTCTGAAATGTCTTGGGAGAGGGATGTGGAATTGCAGATACTGTTTATTTGCTAACCTCTGCCTCGGGTGGAACCTAGACATTGACATTTTAAAACAATTTTTTATTATAAAAAATTTCAAACATATGCAATAGTAGAGAGAATAGTGTAATGAACCCTAGGCACTAACAGTTAACAACCTATAGCCAGTGTTGGTGCACCTGTCCGCCTGCCCACTTTCCCCCACTTCTGGATTATTTTGAAGCATATTAGTAATATTATTTTATTTGTAATATTTCAATATTTCTATTTGTATCTCTAAAAGGGAAAGACTCTGACTTTTAAACATAGACAAACACCATATCATACTCTGAAAAAGCAACAAATTCCTGAGTATCATCAAATATCCAGTCAGTGTTCACAGTTTCCCTGGGGCACTGGTAGTATTTTAAAGCTTCCTAGGTGATTCTAATGAGCAGCATGGGTTGATATCATTCCCTTGCTCAGTAAATTAAATTCTTTATTTCTGAGGCAGCCCAGGGGTCCCAAATGGATGGGGGCTTTGATATAGCGAAAATCCAAGGCTGACTCAGTTGACCTAATCCTGTTCCCCATTCCTTCCTCTCTGTATAGTGCCACCTGTGTGACAAGACATTCATGAATGCCAACTTTCTCCGGGGCCACATCCAGCGTAGGCATGCAGGACTGGACTCAGAAGGTGAGTCCAGACAGCAACCTGGTCCCCTTCTGGGACTGTGGAAGGGCCTAGAGCTGGTATTAAGTGGGTGGCGACCACCTATACTACCCAAAACTGCTCTCAGAATCTCACTTTCCAACTGGGGATGGGATGATCCCACCATCCACCACCCAGAGAGCCCACATGGGTTGGAAGGGTTTCTGACTCCATGTGTAAAGAAGGGCTGGGAGTCAGACAGGTAGATGTCACTCTTAGCTCTTTCTGTATTTATTATGTTACCTTGGTCAGTGCTTTCCCCTCTGTGTCTCAGTGGCCTTCACTGTAAGTGGGGCAGTCAGATGAAGTGACTTTGAAGGGCTCTTACCTTCCAGCCTTCTGTGAATCTGCAATTCTCTGATGCCAGCCACGAATAATCTTAAATGGGGTGAATGGGCAGTCAGACCAGTTCTTTGACTTTTCTACATACCTGAGCTTATCATGACTTAATCACTTTATTTTTACAAATTCCAAAATGTGGAGCAAGGCTGTATGTTTTCCCCATAAAAATATTTGCATATTTTACATTCACTTTTTTTTTTTTTGAGACAATGTCTCACTCTTTCACTCAGGCTCGAGTGCAGCGGCTTGATCTTGGCTCCACTGCAGCCTCCACTTCCTGGGCTCAAGCCATCCCCCTACTTTAGCCTCCCGAGTAGCTGGGACTACAGGCACATACCACCATGCCTGGCTAATTTTAAAAATTTTTCCTAGAGATGAGGTCTCACTATGTTGGCCAGGCTGGTCTCCTGGGCTCCAGCGATCTTCCTGCTTTAGCCTCCCAAAGTGCTGGGATTACAGGCTTGAGCCACTGCATTCAACCTATATTCACTTTTTGAGGTTCAGTAAGAAATATCTGTTAAAACATAAAATAAATATAAATATAAAAATGCCATTAAGTAAAACCTTTCCTACTTTTTGTCCTTCAAATTCCCTTTTCATAGAACAGATTGAGTTTTAAAACAGTACCGCTTACCTGATTATTATGCATTTAGTGCATATCTAATTCTTCTTAGTTCTGCATTGGAGGCTAAGGAAAAATAAATTTTCCACACGTTAATTTTTTTTTGAATAAAAATATATCTCTGATTTAGAAAATTTAAATACAGGAAAGTAGAAAAGAGAAAATAGAAACCATGGACAATATCATCAGCAGTTAATATTTTGGTGTATTCTCTGTAGACATATATAATCAAATAGTGTGCACTTTGATTACTGCTTATTTTCATTTAAGAATATGTCGCATTTTCCAATGTCATTAAATTACCTTTGAAAATGTGGTTTTTAATGCCTGAATAGTATTTCATTAGGTTGTTATCATAATTTATTTCACAATTTCCTTGTGCTGAATATATCCTTTACCCCAACATTTCTTTATTATAAATCACATGATGGTTGATATTCTTGCATGTAGATCTTTGTATGTATCTCCTCTTATTTCCTTAACGTAAAGTGCTGTAAGGAGAGAGAAATGTGTTCTTAAGGTCACTTTGGCTATATCATGGCCTCTTTCCTTACAGGCAGCTCGAGTGCAGGCTCGAGCCTAGATGCCTAACTCTTCTATTCCACAGTTGCCTCAAATCATGTTATTGAAGCAAATTAATTTCTACCGCAACTAAAAATTGCTTGTTTGTAAAATGTCCAACCTGAGAGAAAAGTCACATCCCTTTTCAAAGAAAAGGCTTAGAACTTTAATGACAGTACTATTTGTCTAGTAATCACTATGTGTGCTTTAAAAAGTAACAAATGTTCAAGAAAAATTGGTTTCTTTTTTGACTCTTAGCCCTTGCTTTATCATCAATATGTGGTTTAGTTAGGATGTTTTTATAATTAATTCTGAATCTTTTTCTTCACTTAAACAATTTATTCACTTAAAGTAGCTTTGGTTCTTTACAATACATGCTGCTATTTTTTTCATTTGAAATTTAAAACTATACACTTACTGAAAAAAGTGAACTTAAAACTACAATGATTTTTATTACTTTAAAATTATCTCTGATTACTGTTAGGATATATAGATAGGTTTTTTGTAGTGATAATTGGTGTACAGACTATTTGGTATTCTGCTTCTGTTACTGTAGTAATTTTAAATTTCTATTTCCATGCATCAGTACTGTCAAAATACTTATTTTAAGTGACAGTACAATAATAATTCACACTTTTTGAGCTGTCATGCCAGGCACTATGCTAAGCACTTTGCATTCTCACATTTCATCCTCACAGCAGCTCTCTGAGTTAGGTGCTATTGTTATCTCTGTTTTTGAGTTTGGGGAAACAGAGGGATAGGGAGGTTACGTTCTTTGTACAAAGTCAGTGTACTAAGTAGCAAAGCTGGATTCAGACCGAGGTGTGGCTGATTGATGAGGTGAGAAACTACACTCCCTTGATTTTTGCACTTAAACTGGTCACCCTGTCTTTGCATGTTCCCCACAGGAAAACAGAAGAAGCAGGAGCAGCCAGTGGAAGAGGTGTTAGAAGAGCTACGGGCCAAGCTAAAGTGGACTCAAGGGGAGCTGGAAGCCCAGAGGGAGGCCGAGAGGCAGCGGCAGCTCCAGGTGGGCAGGGAGAGAAAACATCAGGGAGACTTGGGTCATCCCAGGAGGCCCCTGATGCACATAAATCCCACAGGGCAAAATTTCCAGCTGGTTTCCCAGAGCTGGGAATCAGAGCTGGGACAGATAATGCCTTCTTGGACACAGCAAATGATTTTAGGTAGTCTGGAAAGGAAAATTGAATTATTTTTGCCAGACTTTTGTGGACAAAAGTACAGCAGAGAGATGCAGTTTCCTGCATTAGTCAGCAGCCTCTGAGGATGTTTGAACCTGAATTTTAGCTTTGTACACAACGCTGTTAGTTAACTTTTTGAGGACAAAGACTGGGTTTGATTCTGAAAGCTCCAGAACCCAGCCCAGATAAAATGCTCAGTAAATGTTTGTAGAATGAAAATACATGAAGTTGCCCTGCTGATTCCTTCATTATTCATTCCCTCAGCATGCATTTATTGAGCACCAGCTGCATAGTTGGTATTGTGACGAATACAGGCATACCTCATTTTTTGTGTGCGTTTTGTGTGTTTCACAGACATTGTATTGTTTGCACATTGAAGGTTTGTGCCAATCCTGTGTTGAGCAAATTTATCAGCATCATTTTCCAATAGCATGTGCTCACTTCATGTGTCTGTGTCACATTTTGGTAATCTCACAAAATTTCAAACTTCTTGATTATTATTATGTCTGTTATGGGGATCTGTGATCAGTGATCTTTGATGTTACTACTGTAATTGTTTGGGGGTGCCACAAACTGTCCATATAAGATAGCAAACTTAATCAAACCTCTCTTACTTTAAATCAAAAGGTAGGGCCGGGCGTGGTGGCTCACACCTGTAATCCCAGCACTTTGGGAGACTGCAGTGGGCAGATCATGAGGTCAGGAGTTTGAGACTAGCCTGGCCAATATGGTGAAACCCCGTCTCTACTAAAAATACAAAAATTAGCTAAGCGCGGTGGCACACACCTGTAATCCCAGCTACTCGGGAGGCTGAGGCAGGAGAATTGTTTGAACCCGGGAGGTGGAGGTTGCAGCGAGCCGAGATCATGCCATTGCACTCCAGCCTGGATGACAGGGCGAAACTCTGTCTCAAAAAAAAAAAAAAAAAAAAATCGAAAGGTAGAAATGTTTAAGTTTAGTGACGAAGGCATGTTGAGAGCTGAGATGGGCTGAGAGGTAGTCCTCTTGTGCCAAACAGCCAAATTATTAATACAAAGTTATGAATTACAAAGTTATGAATTTCAAAGTTGTGCCTTGAAAGAAATTCAAAGCACTACTCCACTGAATGCACAAATGGTAAGAAAGTGAAAGAGCCTTATTACTGAGATGGAGAAAGTTTTAATGGTCTGGATAGAAGATCAAATCAGCCACAAAATTCCCTTAAGCCAAAGTCTAATCCAGAGCAAGGCCCTAACTCTATTCATTTCTATGAAGGCTGAGAGAAGTGATGAAGCTGCAGAAGAAAAGTTGGAAGCTAATGGGGGTTGGTTCATAGGTTTAAGGAAAGAAAACATCTCCATAACAATGAAAGTGCAAGGTGAAGCAGCAAGTGCTAATGTAGAAGCTGCAGCAAGTTATCTAGAAGATCTAACTAAGTTAATTGATCAAGGTGACTGTACTTAACAGATTTTCAGTGTAGAAAAAACAACCTTCTATTGGAAGAAGCCATCTAGAACTTTTGTAGTTAGAGATAAGTCAATGCCTGGCTTCACAAGTTCAAAGAACAGGATGATTCTCTTGTTAGGGTCTAATACAACTGGTGACTTTAAGTTGAAGCCAATGTTTATTTGCCAGTGTGAAAATTCTAGGGCCCTTAAGAATTAAGAGCTAGCTCTCTCTACCTGTGCTCTAACAATGGAACAATAAAGTCTGGATGACAGCACAGCTGTTTACAGCATGGTTTACTGAATATTTTAAGCCCATTGTTGAGATCTACTGCTAACAAAAAGATTCCTTTCAGAATAATTACTGCTCATTGACAATGTTCCTGGTTATCTAAGAGCTCTGATGGAGATGTACAAGGAGATTTGTGTTGTTTTCAGGCCTGCTAACACAATATCCATTCTGCAGCCCATAAATCAAGGAGTAATTCTGACTTCCAAGTCTTACTATTTAAGAAATACATCTTGTGGGCTGGGCATGGTGGCTCAAGCCTGTAATCCCAGCACTTTGGGAGGCCAAGGTGGGTGGATCACGAGGTCAAGAGATCGAGACCATCCTGGTCCACATGGTGAAACCCCGTCTCTACTAAAAATACAAAAATTAGCTGGGCATGGTGGCACATGCCTGTAATCCCAGCTACTCAGGAGGCTGAGGCAGGAGAATTGCCTGAACCCAGGAGGCGGAGGTTGCGGTGAGCCGAGATCGCGACTTTGCACTCCAGCCTGAGTAACAAGAGCGAAACTCTGTCTCAAAAAAAAAGAAATACATCTTGTAAGGTTATAGCTGTCATAGATAGTGATTCTGAGCAAAGTAAATTGAAAACCTTTTGGAAAGGATTTGCCATTCTGGATGCTATTAAGAAAATGTGTGATTCTTTGGGGGAGGTCAAAATAGTAACATTAACAGGAGTTTGGATGAAATTGATTCAAGCCATTGTGGATGACTTTGAGGGATTCAAGACCTCAGCGGAGGAAGTAACTGCAGATGTGGTGGAAATAGCAAGAGAACTAGACTTAGAAGTGGAGCCTGAAGATGAGACTGAATTGCTGTGACCTCATGATAAAACTTTAATGGTTGAAGAGTTGTTTCTTATGGATGAGCAAATAAAGTAGTTCTTTTTTCCACCAAGTCTCTGTTATTGGGGGCAATGGGCCTCTTGGGGGTCCTCACTGCATGGCTTGTTCATTGGCACCGCTTCCCAAGTCCTGGGGCTTCATCACATTGGGCACCTTGGGTGGGCTGTAAACAGCTCGACGCACAGTTCCCCAGATGTGTCATCCACCCGGAAGGCCAGCTCCGCTGTGGCTGGGGCCTGTGGCCATGCTGTTTGGCTGGTGAAGTCACACTCACCCAGTGTCTTGCCATCATCCAAGAATTGGTCATCCTTATACAGCTGCTGCTTTTCGGCCAGCCACTTGAGGATGCCCTCGACATTGCGCGTCAGCTTAAACATCCTGCTGGATTCCTTGGCGTCTGTGAAGATGGTGGTCTTGTGGCACCAGATCATGAGGAAACGTCCTGGGGGTGGTGGGCCAACGTGAGGGTGAAGCCCAGGCCCCCTGTGTGGCCCAGCTGCTCCCCGCTGTCCCCCAAATAGTTTCTTGAGATGGAATCTACTACTGTCAAAGATGCTGTGAACATTGTTGAAATGGTAAGAAAGGATTTAAAGTATTATATAAACTTAGTTGAGAAAGCAGCAGGAAAGTTTAAGAGTATTGACTCTGATTTTGAAAGAAATTCTACTGTGTGTCAGATGCTACCAAACAACATCTCATGCTATGGAGAGATCTTTCATGAAAGGAGGAACCGGTTGAGGTGGCAAACTTCACTGATGTCTTTTTTTTTTTTTTGACGGAGTCTTGCTCTGTTATCCAGGCCGGATTGCAGTGGCATGATCTCAGCTCACTGCAACCTTCGCCTCCTGGGTTCAAGTGATTCTCCTGCCTCAGCCTTCCTAGTGACTGGAATTACAGGCACGTGCCAGTACACCTGACTAATTTTTTATAGTTTTAGTAGAGACTGGGGTTTGGCCATGTTGGTCTCGAACTCCTGACTTGAAGTAATCCACCTGCCTCTGCCTCCTAAAGTGTTGGGATTACAGGTGTGAGCCACCATGCCTGGCCTATTGTTGTCTTAAGAAATTGCCATGGCACCTCAACTGTGATCAGTCAGCAGCCATCAATATCAAGGCAAGACCCAGCACCAGCAAAAAGATTATGACTCACTAAAGGATCAGACGATTATTAGCATTTTTTAGCAATAGAGTATTTTTTTAACATTTGTATTATTATTTTTTATTTTCTATAAGTTATTGGGGTACAGGTGGTATTTGGTCACATGAGTAAGTTCTTTAGTGGCGACTTGTGAGATTGTGGTGCACCCATCACTGAACAGTATACACTGCACGGTATTTGTTATCTTTTACCCCTTGCGCTCCTCCCACTCCTCCCCTCAAGTCCCCAGAGTCCATGGTATCATTCTTTTGCCTTTGCGTCCTCATAGCTTAGCTCCCACATATCAGTGAGAACATACGATGTTTGGTTTTCCGTTCGTGAGTTACTTCACTTAAAATGGTAGTCTCCAATCTCATCCAGATCACTGCAAATGTGCAAATGTTATTAATTTATTTCTTTTTATGGCTAAGTAGTATTCCATTGTGTGTGTGTGTGTATCTATCTATCTATCTATCTATCTATCTATCTCTATCTATCTATCTGTATACACCACAGTTTCTTTATCTGCTCATCGAATGATGGGCATTTGGATTGGTTCCATGATATTGCACTTGTGAATTGTGCTGCTATAAACGTGTGTGCAGGTATCTTTTCCAATAATGACCTCTTTTCCTCTGGGTAGATACCCAGTAGTGGGATTGCTGGATCAAATGGTAGTTCTAGTTGTAATTCTTTAAGGACTCTTCACACTGTTTTCTATAGTGGCTGTACTAGTTTACATTCCCACCAACAGTGTAGAAGTGTTCCCTGATCACCACATCCACACTAACATCTACTGTGTTTTGATTTTTTGATTATGGCCATTCTTGCAGGTATAAGGTGGTATCGCATTGTGGTTTCGATTTGCATTTCCCTGATCATTAGTGATCTTGAGCAGTTTTTCATATGTTTGTTGGCCATTTGTATATCCCTTTTGAGAATGGTCTATTCATGTCCTTAGCCTGCTTTTTGATGGGATTGTTTGTTTTCTTCTTACTGATTTGTTTGGGTTCGTTGTAGATTCTGGATATTAGTCCTTTGTCGGATGTATAGATTGTGAAGATTTTCTCCTACTCTATGGGTTGTCTGTTTACTCTGCTGACTGTTCCTTTTGCTGTTCAGAGGCTCTTTAGTTTAATTAGGTCCTAGCTATTTCTCTTTGTTTTTAAGCAATAAAGTAGTTTTAAATTAAGTTACATACATTGTTTTTATACATAAACCTACGGAACACTTAATAGGTTACAGTCTAGTGCAAACATCACTTTTATATACACTGGAGAACAAAAATATTTATGACATTCTTGCTGTATTGTGATACTTGCTTTATTCCATACTTGCTTTGTTACGATACTTTATTGTGGTGGTCTGGAACTGAACCTGTAATATCTCAGATGTATGCCTGCATAGAGAACAAGGAACATGAACTTTCCTCAATGAACTTTACAGTTCAGGTAAGACTGGCTTAGACTGGTCCTTCCAGCTCCAAACTATGGGAACTATGGGATGAATGTTCTTTGGGTCTCCATAGTGGCTTGCATAGACAAGGAGGCCTAAGCAGGTTCTTAGTAAATATTTGTTGTAATGTGGAATTAATCATCTTATTGTTCTTGCTCTTCTTTGTAGGAAGCAGAGATCATTCATCAGAGAGAAATAGAAGCTAAGAAAGAATTTGATGAATGGAAACAACAAGAGTGGACCAAACTTTATGGGGAAATAGACAAACTAAAAAAAATATTTTGGGATGAATTTAAAAATGTCGCCAACCAGAACTCTTCACTAGAAGAGGTACCCAATATAAAAGACTTTTCAACGTTCCTTTGTTGGAAATCTGCTTATTCTCAAAATTTATTTCTTTGTACTACTTTTATTTCACTGCTGTTGGAAGCTAAAATACTGTGAGGCCAGTTATCAGAGGCCTGATATTAGAGACCCAGGTATCAGAGGCCTAGGATTGAATCACTGCCCTGTCACGTACTGATTGTGAGACCTTGAATGAATTAGTTAACCTCCTCATCCCTCAGTTTTATTTCTATAAGATAGGCTGCTGAAAGGGTTAAATTAATACATAAACAGTATGTAACATAATCTGGCATATAGTAATATATCAGTAGTATATCTGGTATATAGTAATATCTTTAGGTATTATCCTTATTTTTGCAAAGGGCTTTCATCACTGGATAAGAAATGGGGCAAAATTTAACCGAATGCATTTTTCTCCCAACAGATATTCCCTGAATCCTGGTTACATGCCAGATGCTCTGTTGGGGTCTTCAGAGATCACACCTAATGCCTAAAATTTATGGACTGTGTTTACTATTTTCTAGCTCCTATGCAGTATACTTTATATATACTAACTTTTAATCTTCTTAGCAATCAACCATACCATTCTCAAAATAGGTGTATTACTAGTTTATTATTTTCTTTCATATATATATATGTATATATATTTTATTGCACTTTAGGTTCTGGGGTACATGTGCAGAACATGCAGGATTGTTGCGTAGGTACACACATGGCAATGCGATTTGCTGCCTCCATCCCTGTCACCTATATCTGGCATTTCTCCCCATGTTATCCCTTCTCAACTTCCCTACCCCCAACTGTCCCTCCCCTATTCCCCACCAACAGACCCCTATTACTTTCTTTTTACAAGTTTTTTTAAAGCTATTTCCTGATGTTAGGAAGGCCAATGAAAACTAACTAAATGTATATATATATATATTTTTTTTCTTTTTTCTTTTGCTTCCCCCACCCCCAAAAACTATGTATATTTTGAAAATATTTTTTCCTCAAAACTTTTTACCTGATACAGAAGTATGGAGCTTATATGAGTTACCTGACTAAAGAGAGAACTTTAGGTTAGACCTGGGGCAAATTGAAATGCCAATGGAGTGCCTGTCTAGCTAAATGAAAATACCATGAGAATTCGTATTGCCAAGAAAGTCAGCTCTGTGGTGTGTCATAAGCTGCATCAGAACCTGGGAATTGTGCATACATCTGATCAAACTTCAAGGAGTTTAGAAATGGTTAACATTTGCAATCAGTATTGCTTAGCAATAGTTAAGAAATGTTAGCAAGAATGATACCAAGTTAAACTTTGGTGCTTGCCATTCTTTAAAGCCTTAATGGGGCTTAAGAGTTTTGTTGTTGTTGTTGTTGTTGTTGTTGTTGAGATGGAGTCTTGCTCTGTTACTCAGGCTGGAGTGTAGTGGCACGATCTTGGCTCACTGCAGCCTCTGCCTCCCAGGTGGGTTCAAGTGATTCTCCTGCCTCAGCCTCTGGAGCAACTGGGACTATAGGTGCATGCCCTGTTAGTTTTTTGTATTTTTAGTAGAGACGGGGTTTTACCATGTTGGCCAGGCTGGTCTCAATCTCCTGACCTCAGGTGATCCGTCCACCTCAGCCTCCCAAAGTGCTGGGATTACAGGCGTGATCCACCATGCCCAGCAGGGCTTATGAGTTTTATGCAATCATACAGATAGAAATATGTTGCTTTTGTTACTTCGACAGTCATATATTTTGAGAAATAATCATAGGTAGGGTGGAAAGGCATCCTCTCTTTGATCCAGTTTTCTGTGCCTTTTCCTTCATGTCATGTCACACACACTGCTAGCCCAGGAATCAACAGGTGTTGATGACTGTACTCCAAGTTGTGCAAAGCCCTTTCTGGAGACAGCCAGGATGTTTTGTAGGGAGAGAGGGAGGAGTCCTCAGGGAGTGGCCTGGGGTGCCTGAGACCCTCCCACAGGCTCTAAGAGTCTGATTCTTATCAGTTTATTCCAGATTGAGGAAGAAATGGGGCAGCAGTCAGGAGATCTTGGGATTTTTGAGTATACCAGAATTTAAGTGAAATGGAAACTACACTCTTTAATTTGTTCTTCCATGCAACTTGCTTTTTCTGTGCAAGGGCTGATATCCCAGGAGAGCCTTCATGAAGGGGGCTGATTTGTATGAATGTTTGTTGGTGTGTAAATATCTAGTGAGGATGAATTGGGAGGATGAGTTGGGTAAGGCGTGCACCTCTGACACAGTTCCATATATAAAAGACAACATGATTAGGTCTTCATCTGAATAAAACTATGCCCTGGCCTTTTCAGAAACTGCGGATGCTGCAGTCCCACAGTGTGATGGAATCCAACCTGGGATCACTGCAAAATGAGGAGTCTGAGGAGTGGCTCCGTCAGGCACAGGAGCTCCAGGCCCTGAGAGAGAAGACAGAAATTCAGGTGACCTGATGCTCCATGCCCTTCTTCCCACAGGAAGCCAAGAGCTATCTTCTCTTCCAATATATTCTTTCATTTTTGTTCTATGAGTGTAGAGAAGTTGAAGGGCCTCAAAGTTCTGTATTTTTAGACCTTCTGCCAATACATGGAAGCATAGAATAGGGTTCACAGGTGAGGCTGGTGGTATGTGTGCAATGTCAGATTTGCCTAAGATCTTTTGAAAAATACATACAGCTTTGTCTCTTATTTGACACCTTTGCCGCATTCTGATTCTAACTCAGTTGAAAACAACTCTTAGAAAGTGTGACAGTCTCTTGGGTTGGAAGATATTTTGGATGCATTCAGTGTTGTGATGATAGCTGTTTAGCAGCCAGCTCTCTGGAATGAAAAAGCTTTAATTTGTAGCATTTGCCAACTTCCATGGTGTAAATATTTCCACCATGGCCAATTTCATGCTATGTGTGAGGTCACCTAATGGAGCTGGGAGGACTTGTGCACAGTCTGCTCTCACAGGTTGGTAGGAGTTGGCTCTGGCCGCCCCTGCATGAATTTTACTGCAGCCTGCCTGTAAAATGGTCTGTATCACTGATAATTCCATGACAAAAAGGGGAATCGGTACAGTTGTTAAATCATGTTGTACTTCTCTTTCTGCTCTCCAAAATTCTTGAAAAACAAAACAAAACAAAACAAAACCACGAAGTCTAGCTAACAATCAGCAGAAGTGCTGATTGATGTTTTACAGGTTTTACATTATAAAGAGGCCATTCTTTTCGCAAGAATTTGGTTCACATTCTTTCTCTGTTTTTCTATTATTTGTGAGTTTGTATAACGTATGGAAATTAACTCAGCCCTTTGTTTTTCTATTTGTGGTTATTTTCCCCAGTATTCTGTTGGCCTTTCAATTTTGTTGATTCTGGCTTGGCCATACAACAATGAATTATGTTTATGTAGTCAAAATTATCCAATTATTAATCTTTCTTTATGGCCTTCCTCACTCTGAGATTTAAAAATACAACATTCCTGTGTTTTCTTTTAGTCTTATTTTATGGCCTTATTTTTTGTGTTAAATCTTTGACCCACCTAGAATTTATTTTGGTTTAAGATGTGAAATAAGGATCCAGCTTCGTATTTTTTTTTCCAGGCAGCTAGCCATTTGTTCCAGCACCATAAATCAATAATCCATCTCCCTCCCCTTCGTTTCCATTTATTTCCATCTTTAGTCTGGATTTTCTATTCTATTTCACTACTCTGTCTGCCTACCCATGAGCCAGTACTTTTAACTTCCTATAGCTTTTTAACATGTTTTAATACCTATAAGGGTCCAATTGATAAGTTTTTAATCTTTTTCAGAAAACAGAGTGGAAGAGAAAAATGAAGGAACTGCATGAAGAGCATGTGGCTGAGAAGAGAGAGGTAGTTCTTGTTGGGTGATCTCAGGGAGTTTGGTTTCCTATGACCTCTCAGAATTCAGTATTCTCCACCCCCCACTCATCCACCATCTCCCCTATCTCACCTGGAACTGAATGGCAGATACTTTGCTGCAGATATCACTCCTGGTTACCATTCCCATCAGGACACAGAAGAGGTTAGCTGCCCATCCAGCAGCTTCCCTGGCCAGGAGCAGGGGCCTCCAGGCCTTCTCTGAACTGAACATATCTTTTGTTCTGTGGTCTTCTTTGCAGTGACCCCTTTAGGCCCTCCAGGGAGGGTTGTGCCATAAGCCCCAGATGAATCACCTGGTGGTTTCATGTTTTGGCTCTTCTTTGAAACTTTTCCACCTAGGAGAGAACCAGTGGGTCTCAGTGATAGTTCAGTGGGAGTTCAAAGGGAAGGACTCAGATACTGAGAATGGTGAAGAGGGAGCAGTGGGCCTCAGGGCAGAACAAACAGCTTCTGTAAAAATGCCCTGAGCAGGAGGCAAGTTGAGGAGGAAGCTGGTTCATAAGAGCCCCAGAATTCCGCCTGCAAAAAGCTTAGATGAAAAGGTTTAGATCAGTCTGGCCTGTGGTAGACACTCCTCACTCTGGTATAGGGACACATGATCACTCACATGTAATGGTTTTATTTTGTCTGAAGCATTTTCAAATGGGAAATACATTCACATTTGTTCCCAAAACAGGAGTAATAGATTAAGATATATTGAGTAGAGTCTCATTCCCACCTGTAATCATCTACCTGTCCCCAACACCCACTGCTCAGGTGACTTTTATGACTTTCTTTTGTGTTCTTCTAAAGTTTCTTTATGCAAATATTAATAAATATTTTCACTTTATCTCTGCTCTTATATCAGAAGTAGTATGTTAACTCGTTTTCTTCACCTCTTGTTTTCACCTAAAAGCATCCATTTGATGATTTTCGAATGGTCTTAATTTACCTGACTTCCTCAGTGGGTGGCTACATCTGACAGACAGCTCTTTTTCTCCTGGTCTTAAAGGCATGCATTCTATTCTTACTTCTCAGGCACAGCACAAAAATGTCCCCAGACTGGAAGGTAGTCTTGTTAGAAAGCCTGTCCTGGTCTCCAAATCCTTTACTGTGCTTCAAGTGAAACCCTTCCCCAGCACATGCCTACAGGTGCTGGCCCTGCAGAAATGGGGCACTCAGATGTCCCTGCAGACATTTGACCAACCAGTCATCCTGTGCCCACCAGCTACAGGAGGAGAACCAGAGGCTCCAGGCCTCCCTGTCCCAGGATAAGAAGAAGGCAGCTGCCCAGTCCCAGCACCAGATCAGCGCCCTCCATGCCCAGCTGCAGGAACAAGCTAGGATCATTGCCTCCCAGGAAGAGATGGTAGGTCTGCCCCTCCTTTCAGCCAGGCCTTGGTGTCCCTGGGCCTCTATCCTGTGAGGATCTCCTTGGATTCTTCTGGGCTCATCAGTGCGTCTTACTACTCAGCCTCCTTAAGGAGAGAGAAAAGTCCTTAGGCATGAAGGACACAAAATGATAAGGCTGTAACTTCCTCCTTCCAGGCTGAAGATGTGCCACCTCCTTAGGGGCTGCTGGCAGAAGGGGCCACTTTAACAGCAGAGACCATGTAAAATGCTCAGCGCCTCCCTTATGCTTTGCTTATTACCTCATTTAAGCCTTACTACTATACTTCAAGGTAGGCATCCCCTTCTCCCCATCTTCATTTGACAGACGATAAAGTACGCTGGAGAAGGCAAGTCCCTCGCTCAAGTCCTCATGGGGCACTCTGTGATGAGATTCAACCCTAGCCAGGCAGGAAGAATGCAAAGCTTGTGTTCTTTACATAGTGTTCTCAGGCATAATTCCTTAGCCAGTACCTTTTTCATAAATGAACAACCTCTGACAAGGTTAGAGATAAAAGAGTGTGATGAAAAGGCACTCACTTAGCACCTTTCTCCTCAAGCTGGCCCCTGTGACTCCTTACCTCTTGCTGACAATTCTCTGTCTAGTCCAGGCTTAGCTCTCCCTCCCGAGCCCCGGGTCTGTGGAAAGTCTGTGTCTTCCTCTGCTGCCATCCACCGGTGGACTAGGCTCCGCACAGCTACCCTGGGCTGAGCACCCACTGTTACTGTCTAGTCCAGGCATCCCCAAACTACGGCCCGTGGGCCGCATGCAGCCCCGAGGCCATTTATCTGGCCCCCTGGCGCACTTCAGGAAGGGGCACCTCTTTCATTGGTGGTCAGTGAGAGGAGCACAGTATGTGGTGGCCCTCCAAGGGTCTGAGGGACAGTGAACTGGCCCCCTGTGTAAAATGTTTGGGGATGCCTTGTCTAGTCCCTGCCTCTTCTTCCTGCACCCCTTGCTATTTGTGCTTCTCTATACTCCCAGCCACATTCCCCCCAGGCAGCATATCTACCCCACTCGCTTGCTGATTTTCACTGTTACCCTGCCGCCTCAAACGCTCAGCTCTGCACTGAGCTCTAGTCCGGAGGTTTCCTAGGGAGGAAACCACAGCAGAGTTTCCACCATGTTCCCTGCTGGCTGCAATGTCCTGTATGCTACTCAGAACTCTTGTTGGCAAATGATTCAGTTAGGAACCTATTGGCAAAAGGTAACAGAATAGGCTAATAGGGACTTATTTTTATTGTAACAGCAAGAGAGGTGACAGTTGCTGGCCTTGGTTAGCAGCAGAAGTATGCCATTGTGAACACAGACTGTGGGTTTTTTTTTTTTTTTTAAACCATCTTCAGTGTGATGACTTTTGTTTCCTGCTTCACTTTCGTAGTTGCAAGCAGACTACTGTAGTCCAGTCCTACAACCATATTTGGTGGAAGAGGCTGATGAAAAGGCCCCTTCCCAAGACTTCTCTTTACCTATATTACTGGGCAAAGCTGTGTCACATGGGCAACAACAGCTGCAAAGAAGGCTGGGAAAGTAAATACTTAGTTTTGCATTCTGGAGTAGAGGTAGGCAAAGGAGACAACAGTGGAGAATGGACATTGGATGAGTTATTTGTCAGTATGTGCCACCACAGGTAATAAAAAGCGACGCAAGCCTAAGCAGAAGAGGGAGTTTGCCGTAGATGGTGCATATCATAGAGCTCACTCCAGGGGAACAGCTGAGTCTGGGAATAAACTGAATCCAGAGGCATGAATGTGGTTGTGTTTTCCTTTTCTGTGTGTCTCTGTTCCTTTCTCTATAACTACTTTATTATTTTCCTTTTATCCTGAAGATCAGCTTCTGCTTCTTATCTGTTTCATGTGGTGAAACAAATATACATACCAAGGAAACCACAAACAGTTGGCTGCCAGCAGCTCTTGACTTCATTTATTGTCAGTCCAGAGCTCTCTGCCCGAGCCTGGATATTGGCTACGGCTGTGGTGTGAAGTCTCATTGTTCACCTGTGGCTGTCCTGCCTGCAGCCATGAAGGAGGAAGGAAGAGGAACTTCTTGGAGCAGGGTGGTTGAGTAGACAGTTCAGTGCATGTCTACATCTGGCCTCCTGTCCGGGGCCATGTCTGGCTCCTTCCGCCCAGGGGTGCTCTGTTCAGAGGCTCACAATGTGGGAGGGGAGCCTCTCCCTTGCCCTGGCTGTTTTCCGTGAATTATACCAATAGGAACGACTGTGTGCATGTCCCACTCTGTTCCTATGGGACTACCGCCCTCGAGCTATAATTCTTTGAAGAGGGGACATTCTTGCCTCCCTACCTTGGAAAATGGAGGATGCTGCCATTCTCTTTCTCACATGGACCCCAGAGATGTGTCAGGGGGCTGGGATGGTGCATCTGTGCTCCTTCCAGTTCCCAATGGGAGGCATGGAATCAGTAGCCATTCCTTCCTCCGTGTGCTAGGCAGAAACACTGCTCCATGCAGAGTTCTCACAACGTTCTCTGCTGGTTGTAACCCGCTCTATTCCACCTCTTTGCAGATCCAGACCTTGTCCCTCAGGAAGGTGGAGGGTAAGTCTACACAGGGCGGTTTATAGCAGTCTTGGCTGTTGTCTCTGGCTTTTCTCCCTCCTTTTCCCTCTCTCTCAATTCATGGGTAAGGATTGGTGACAGCAGCCTGTGGACATGTAGTATCAGGCTTCTGGGACACACAGGCTGCAGGTAGTGTTTGTGCTGAAGGCTTTCCATGTAGCTGGCAGGGCCTCTTGCCTGGCTTGCTCTGTCTGTAGAGGGATGGAGGCAGTGGGGAGGAGGGTGATTATGGGTGGAGTGGGGTTTCACGAGCAGGCTTTTCTAATGCACCATGCCTGCAGTGATTGAGGAAAATTAGGATTCAGGGTTGCTGGCAACCTTTACCTTGTTCCCAATGTTCAGCAAGTTGACCCCAAACTTACGTGAATGTGTCCTGTTTGGATATACAGCCTCCTCTTGGGTACTGTGGTGTGGGGATACGTGTGTCTCTGTGTAATGGGGTGTAGGTGCTGGCATCTAAAGTTAGATGGCAACCCACAGGGGACTGCTCCTGTTTAGAGGACCTTGGACAGCTGCTTGTGAAGCTTGGCCCTTCATCTGCCACCTCCAGCTCCCCTGTCCTATGGCTTAAGCTACGCTTCTACCTTTTATTGCAAACTCACCTTTTCTCCTACCCCTTGCTTTCCCAGCCATCCAGCCAGTTCAGAGAGGCCTGAGCCCTGAGACCCTGAACCTCCTGAGGGATGGAGGCAGAACAGAGCCATTAATAACAGCCGTGTGCCACACCTTTCCCCGGCCACTTCAGATTCATCATCTCATTACATTGGCTTACTATTGAATGTGGGGTGGATATTATTATCCTCATTTTGTAGGTGGGGAAACTGAGGCTGAGAGGGGTTCAAGGACTTCCCGTCTCTTGCACAGATAGCAAGGGGCGGAGATGGTGAGTGGACTCTGATCTTTCTGCCCTCTACGTCTGCTCCATCCCGCCTCTCCCGAGTCAAGACGAGCTGACTGGAGGGTTTTCTTTTTCTGGCTTATAACCAGCTGGAGTCCTGTACTTTTCTCCTAGTCAGGGATGGGGTCCAGGGCACTGGTGGCACTAACCATTCCTTCTCTCTTTAAGGGATCCACGAGGTGCCAAAGGCTGTGGACACAGAGGAGGACTCTCCGGAAGAAGGTGGGGACTGACTTTCTTTCCTGGATGTCCAGTGCAGAAACAGATTTGCTGCCCTCCTCCTTGTTTAGTTTGTCTCTACTTAACTATATCTGGACACCTGAAGCTGGAGTGGAGGGAACTAAGGACCTAAGGATGTGAAATTATATATATATATATATATATATATATATTTGTTTTTGATATGGAGTTTTGCTCTTGTTGCCCAGGGTGGAGTGCAATGGCATGATCTTGGCTCACTGCAACCTCTACCTCTCTGGTTCAAGTGATTCCTCTGCCTCAGCCTCTCAAGGAGCTGAGATTACAGGCGCCTGCCACCATGCCTGGCTAATTTTTGTATTTTTAGTAGAGATGGGGTTTTACCATGTTGGCCAGGCTGGTCTTGAACTCCTGTCCTCAGGCGATCCCGCTTGCCTCGGCCTCCCAAAGGGCTGGGATTACAGGTGTGAGCCACCACAGCCAGCCTGAAATAATACTTCGTAACACCTTCTGTGTGCCAGGTATGTGACATGCAGGTACTAACATAAACAATCTGCTGGTTTAGTGATGGGGAAGCCCAGGACCAGAGAGGGTCATTAGCTTGTCCAAAGCCACAAAGCTAGCAGGTAGCTGAGTGAGGATTTGGAGTGACTTCTGATTCACAGCCCATCCCACTGACTCTCACTTGAGGCTATGCAGAGCAGTGGAAGATAATTTGCTGAATTGGCTTAAAATGGCCTTTGCTGTTTTCTTCTGCATTGTGAGTTTCCTGCAGACAGATTCCACAGGACTTAACTAATGTGTAGTAATCCACCTCGGCTCCCTTTTCAGAGCACTGGGTACCTGCTGTTTTTATTCACCCTATTCCATGACTGACTCCTGATTCGCAGACCTCTCAACCAGATGCAGCCAAGGGGTGCAAAAGAGAAGTGGAAAAAATAGAGATGCTCTCTGACTGCAAGGAGCTCTTAGGATTGTCAGGGAGTGGAAGGACAGATGAGTGAGTGGTGACTGGAAAGCTACTGACCGGGGCCTGTCTGTTTGAGCAAGGCAATGATACGACAATTTCAAAGTTTCCCAGACAAATTGTAATTATGCCATCAAAGAGCTCATTGTGGGATTTTCTATTTTTTAATGTAAAGTTTTTCTTTATTTTCAAGATGGTAATCTATGCACTTTGGGAAAAGAAAAGAATGATATAAAAGGGGTGTGCAGTAAGAAATAGGCCTCCTTTCTGCCCAGCTATCCAGTTTCCTCTCCAGAAGTTTTATTGTTATGGTTTCTCATGTATCCTTCAATTCTGCATGGGAATATGTGCAAATGTAAGCACATGTGTGTACCCATTTTTCTCCTTTTTCCCAAATGGGAATACACTATACACATTGTTCTGCAGTTAGTTATATTGTTAACAACTTATTTGGGAAATGGTTTCATATCCCTTTATAGAGAACTGCTTCATTATTTTTTCAGGGCTTTGCAGCCTTCCATTAGATAGATGAACTAAAATTTATTTAACCAGTTAGTCCTCTACTACCTCCCTCTACCCTCCCAGGACATTTAACCTTGGGATATAGTTGTAAAAATTAAAATTGCATATCACTTTTGAGGAAGGTATCTGTTGAGTAACACAAGGTCCTCAGGTAGGATGAATCACATCTTCAAACAGTGGATGCAGGGTACTAGAGAGGAGGAGTCTGAGATTGATGAGTCAGGGGATCCCACGGCTTGTGTGCCTGTTGCTACAGTGGAGGTTTTACTTGCTTATCATACTGTGTGTGTTTGTCTACCTCTTCCCATCCCAGACTGGCAGGCAACAGCATCACTTGGGAATTTGTTAGAAACGAAAAGTTGTAATTCTCAGGCCCCATCCTAGACAAACTGAAGCGGAAACTCGGGGCAGGACCCAGAAGTCTGTTTTCACACACTCTCTAGGGCGTTCTGATTCTTGCTCAAGTTTGAGAACCACTGTGAGACCAGTGGCTGTCTACAACTGGCTAAACATTAAGAATCACCTATAAAGCTTGAACTGTTTAGAGGACCACTTCACACCCCCACGTTACCTAAAGCAGAACATGGAGTGGATGGGTTCCAGGCATCAGCAGCATTTAAAGCTCCCCAGGTGATTCCAATGTGTAGACAAGGCTGAGGATCATGTCCAGGTGCCAACTTTATTGAGCAGAATCACACAGGATCGGGGGTGAATGTGTGGCAGGGGAGGAATTATTAGAACCCAGATTTCTGGGCCCCACCTGTAGAATTTTTGATTCAATAGGTTTAGAGTGGGAGCTGAGAATCTGCGTCTCACAAGTTACCAGGTGATGCCGCTGCTTTGGCTCACAGTTAAGGAGCATTGTCCTACAATCATTGTTTCTCAGGCTTCACTGTTGATTAAAATATCTAGAGAATTTAAAACAAATATCAAGTGTTGGGGTCCACCTTGAGAGATTCTGATGGCATCAGCCTGGGGTGATTCCCACACACAGCCAACGGTGAGATTCACCACCCTTGATTGTGAGTGAGGTCCTTGGGGGATGAGAGATGGGCTTCTGTGTCCTTAGCATCCAGCCCCAGTCTTACTACACTCATGCTACTTGTTCAGTTAATGTCCACTGAGTGAGTTAAAGGGCTTGGTCCAGCTCTTACCACAGAGGCCCCCACATGGAACTTGAAGAACACTCTGGGATGCCTTCCTTGACTCGCCTTGGACTGCTCCTTTGTAGCACTTACCACATTTAATTGTATTTGCTAATTTTGCTAGCCTCAGATCAGTATTTCTTAAAGTATGGCCTGTGGTTCATCTCCATCAGAATCATCTCATAATGTTAAAATGCAGATTCTAGGGCCCTTCCCCAGACTTACGGAATCAGACTCTTTGGAGGGTGAGGTGAAGGACTATTAATTTTTAACCCATGCCCAGGTGATTCTGATATATGCTGAAGTTAGAGGGAGAATACCCAATCTAGACAGTAAACTTGAGGGAGCAGCGATCTGTCTATTTGGTCCACCAATTTATCACCTGGACCAGAATTGGGCCTGGCATGGAAATGAGATGAGGGTATCAGGTGGAGCTAGGATTAGGCTGGAACTCATTGCAGAGGAGCGTGGAATCTGAGATCAGAAGGGAGCCCAGGGAAGCTTTCAGGGCTCAAGTGCAAGCCCCAAGTCCTGAGTTAACCTGTGGTAGGACTGACTGAGCCCAAGTTTTAGGGATCCAGACTGGCAGGGGATGAGAATGCCGAAGTTGTGTGGAGGGCCTAAGGCAGTGGTACCCAGGAGCAGAAATACCCTAGCTTCTGACCCAAGGATGGACACTCAAGAGGGATCAGTGGCCTTGGGCATCACAGGCCAGAGACCAGGATCCTTGGCAGAATCCTTGGCAGAGTGAGGGCTCGGCAGGTGTGGTGGGGTTCTGGGAATGGAGAGCTCAGGTGCCCAGGCTGATCTGGGTGTATCTTATGCTACAGAGCTGGAGGACTCCCAGGATGAGCAGCAAAAGGTGCTGGCAGCTCTGAGGTGTAACCCCATCTTGCTGAAGCAATTCAGACCAATCCTGGAGGACACCCTGGAAGAGAAGCTGGAGAGCATGGGGATAAGGAAGGTGAGTTTCAAGGCCACCGTTTTAAGGTCTCATACCTATGATTTAGACATGAGGTGTTCTTAAACAGACAAATGGTTGATTGTTCTTTGCATTGTGAACTCATTCATCTCACTCGTGCCAGCCTGGGCTCCTTTGGCATCCACACGCCTTTCTCCCTTCACAGCTAGAATGTGGTATCTTTCCTCTGTTTCTCCAGCAGCTTCTCAGGACTGGCCGTATTTGGCTGGTGATACTACCCTGAGTCCTGACTGCTCAGTGTTCTCCACTCACTGGTTACTTCCTTTTCTGTCTCTAATTTGTTGCTAGAGGGAATTTAATTGGCACAATCTGGCCTATGGACAGGTTCCTCCTTGGGTAAATATCCATCTCCAGGCCCATCATCTGTGGTACACATGGCTGTGTCCACTCAGCAGGTGGCTGTGTGTGGGCATCACTGAAAGCTGTGCCTGACACCAATTACTATTTTTTTTTTGAGAAATAATAACATTTTCCTATAGTTTTTTAGCAATCACATGTATGTATGTATATACATGTGTGTATGTGTATTTTATTTTCAGATTTTTAAATTTTTAAAATTTCAATGGTTTTTTGGGGGGAACAGGTGGTGTTTGGTGACATGAATAGTTCTTTAGTGGTGATTTCTGAGATTTTGGTGCACCCATCACCTGAGCAGTGTATACTGTACCCAGTGTGTAGTTTTTTGGTTTTGTTTTTTCTAATCCTCCCTCGGGTTTATTTGTACAAATAGCACAGGAGGACCCCAGCCCCATGCAGATGGCAGCTCCGGGGGGGTCGCACCAGTCCTTCTGTCCTCACATTGGCAGAGATATCTACTCTGAAGGCTTTGTAGGGGCCTGGGCACCTTTGGAAGACTGAACTGGAACTGAAGCTGGAGCTGCAGCCTGGGCCGTGTTTTGATCCTTGGCCTTGGCTTTGGCCTTTGGCTGGCAGAGCCTGAGCCCCTTGGCAATGTGAGCACGAGCACGCTTCCCAGGCTTGGGGCGGGCAGTGTAGGCAAGTCAATCGAGCTTTCGGCTGACACCCCCCTTTGGGATCTTGGGCTTAACCTCCTTGGGCTTTCTGAGGGCCTTGATGGCCTTGGCACGTGCACTCACGGCCTTGGCCTTGCTGGCCTGCATCTTCTTTAGGCCCTTCTTGCTGTGCTTCTCAGCAAAGCGCATGTTCCTCAGGAACTTGGGGTCCACCCCCTTAAGCGATTCGTATCTTTGTGATCGGGGTTTCTTGATACCATTTCTGTGCCGTTTTCAGGACTGGTTGTGTGTGGTGTGGTTCTTGGACTTGGCCATGTCTGCACCTAAGCCGCGCTTCCTGAAGCGCCTAGGACCGGAAGACAGTTTTTTTTAATCCCTTGCCACCCCCTACCCTTTCCCCCAAATCTGCAAAGTCCAATGTATCAGTTCTTATGTCTTTGCATCCTCATAGTTTAGCTCCCACGTATGAGTGAGACCATACGAGTTTGGTTTTCCATTCCTGAGTTACTTCACTTAGAATCGTAGACTTTAGTTCCATCCAGGTTGCTGCAAATGCCATTATTTCATTCTTTTTTGTGGCTGAGTAGTATTCCATGGCATGTAGATATACCACATTTTCTTTATCCACTCCTTGATTGATGGGCATTTGGGCTCTTTTCATATTTTTGCAATTCCAAATTGTGCTGTTATAAACATGCATGAGCAAGTATCTTTTCCGTGTAATGATTTCTTTTCCCTGGTGTAGATACCCAGTAGTGGGATTGCTGGATCAAAGGGTAGATCTACTTTTAGTTCTTTAGGGAATCCCCACACTGTTTTCTGTAGTGGTTGTACTAGCTTACATTCCCGCCAACAGTGTAAAAGTGTTCCCTTTTCACCACATCCACGCCAGCATCTATTAATTTTTGATTTTTTGTTTATGGCCATTTGTAGGAGTGAGGTGGTATAACATTGTGGTTTTAATTTGCATTTTCCTGGTAATTAGTAATGCTGAGCATCCCTACTCTGGGAAGCTCCCTCCTCATTTAAAGACATTCTGCAGTCCTTAGGACCTCCAGTGCTCCTACCCAATGCTTCTGGGCCTGCTCCTCAGTCACCCGTCCTGATCCATTGTCTCCTTGGGTTTGGATAATTCTTCTTTCTCCAGTTCCATGAGGAGTGACCTAGATTGTCTATTTGTGCTCTTTCTCTGATGTAGGCATTTACTGCTTTGAACTTTCCTCTTAGTACTGCTCTTGCTGTATCCCAGAGGTTTTGATAGGTTGTGTCACTATATTGTTCAGTTCAAAGAATTTTTAAATTTCCATCTTGATTTCATTGTTGACCCAGTGATCATTCAGGAATGGGTTATTTAATTTCCATGTATTTGATGGTTTTGAGGGTTTCTTTTGGAGTTGATTTCCAATTTTATTCCACTGTGATCTGAGAGAAGTACTTGATATAATTTCTATTTTCTTAAATTTACTGAGACTTGTTTTGTGGCCTATCATCTGGTTTGTCTTGGAGAATGCTCCATGTGCTGTTGAATAGAATTTATATTCTACCAGTTGTTTGGTAGAATGTTCTGTAAATATCTGTTAAGTCTGTTTGTTGTAGGACATAGTTTAAGTCCATTGTTTTTTTGTTGATTTTCTGTCTTGATGACCTGTCTAGTGCTGTCAGTGCAGTATTAAAATCCCCTACTATTATTGTGTTTCTGTCGATCTCATTTCTTGGGTCAGTAGTAATTGTATTATAAATTTGGGAGGTCCAGTGTTAGGTACATGTATATTTAGAATTGTGATATTTTCCTGTTGCATTAGTCCTTTTATCATTATATAATGTCCCTCTTTGTCTTTTTAAACTGCTGTTGCTTTAAAGTTTGTTTTGTCTGATATAAGAATAGTTATTCCTGCTTACTTTTGGTGTCCATTTGCATGGAATATTTTTTCCCACCCCTTTACCTTAAGTTATGTGAGTCCTAATGTGAGTTTAAGTGAGTCTCCTAAAGACAGAAGAAACTTGGTTGATGAATTCATATCCATTCTGCTATTCTGTATTTTTTAAGTGGAGCACTTAGGCCCTTTACATTCAATGTTAGTAATGAGTTGTGAGGTACTGTTCTATTCATTGTTCTATTTGTTACCTGAATACCTTGCTTTTTTCTTCATATGCTATTCTTGTGTATGTCCTGTGAGATTTATGGTTTAAGAAGGTTCTATTTTGGTATATTTCAGGGACTTGTTTCAAGATTTAGAACTCCTTTTAGAATTCTTTTTTTTTTTTGAGACGGAGTTTCACTCTTGTTACCCAGGCTAGAGTGCAATGGGACAATCTCGGCTCACCGCAACCTCCGCCTCCTGGGTTCAAGCAATTCTCCTGCCTCAGCCTCCTGAGTAGCTGGGATTACAGGCACGTGCCAACATACCCAGCTAATTTTTTTGTATTTTTAGTAGAGACGGGGTTTCACCATGTTGACCAGGATGGTCTCGATCTCTTGACCTTGTGATCCACCCCCCTCGGCCTCCCAAAGTGCTGGGATTACAGGCTTGAGCCACCTGCGCCCGGCTTAGAATTCTTGTAGTGCTGGCTTGGGAGTAGCGGATTCTCTCAGCATATGTTTATCTGGAAAAGACTGTATCTTTCCTCATTTATGACGCTTAGTTTCACTGGATACAGAATTCTTGGCCGATAATTGTTTTGTTTAAGGAGGCTAAATAATAAGACCCCAATCCCTTCCAGCTTGTAGGGTTTCTGCTGAGAAATTTTCTGTTGATCTGATAGGTCTTTCTTTATAGGTTACCTGATGCTTCTGCCTCACAGCTCTTATGATTCTTTCCTTCATCTTGACTTCAGATAACCTGTTGACTATGTGCCTAGGTGATGATCTTTTTGCAATGAATTTCCCTGGAGTTCTTTGAGCTTCTTGTATTTGGATGTCTGGGTCGCTAGCAAAGTTGGGGAAGTTTTCTTCGATTATTCCACCAAAGATGTTTTCAAACTTTTAGATTTCTCTTCTTCCTTGGGAATACCAGTTATTCTTAGGTTTGGACATTTAACATAGTCCCAAACTTCTTGGAGACTTTGTTCATTTTTTAAAAATTCTTTTTTGTCTTTGATGGATTGGGTTAATTTGAAAGCCTTGCCTTCGAGCTCTGAAGTTCTTTCCCCTGCTTGTTCAGTTCTATTGCTGAGACTTTCCAGTGTATTTTGCATTTCTCTAAGTGTGTTTTTGATTTCCAGAAGTTGTGATTGTTTTCTATTTATGCTATTTCATTGAAGAATTTTCCTTTCATATCCTGTATCATGTGTTTGATTTCTTTAAGGTGGGCTTTACCTTTCTTTGGTGCCTCCTTGAATAGCTTAATAATTGACCTTCTGAATTCTTTTTCTGGCAATTCAGAGATTCATCTCGGTTTGGATCCATTGCTGGTGAGCTGGTATGATTTTTTGGGGGGTGTTAAAAACCTTGTTTTGTCATATTACCAGAATTGTTTTCCTGGTTCCTTCTCACTTGGGTAGACTATGTCAGAGGGGAGATCTGGGATTCAAGGGCTGCTGTTCAGATTCTTTTGTCCCACGGGGTACTCCCTTGATGTGTTCTCCCCTTCTACTAGGAATGGGGCTTCCTGAGAGCTGAACGGTGGCAATTGTTTTTGATCTTCTGGGTCTAGTCACCCAGTGGAGTTATAGGCTGGTACTGGGGAGTGTTTGCAGAGTCCTGTGGTGGGATCCATCTTCAGGTCTTGCAGCCATGGATACTATTCCAGCGCCTGCTCTGGTGGAGGTAGTAGGGGAGTGAAGTGGACTCTGTGAGGGTCCTTGTTTTGTGTTTTTTTTTTTTTGTTTGTTTGTTTAGTGCACTGGTTTTGTGTTGATTGACCTCCAGCTAGGAGGTGGTGCTTTCAAGATTGCATCAGCTGTGATCCTATAGGGAGGATGCATACTTGCCCTAGGGAGACCTGGTTAAGTGTTCAGGTTTCTCAAGCAGTGGGCATGGCCACAGAGCTCCCAAGAGATTATGGCCTTTGTCTTCAGCTACCAGGCAGGAAGAGGAAGACCATCAGGTGGGGCAATTTAGTTTTTTAAACATTGTTAGCCATGGACAGTGTGTTTGGCATCATAATAGTAATTGGGGGTTTAAAAATGAGCAAGCCATGGTCTCTTATCCTAGGATTCAGTCAGATGGTAGAAAAGCATGTTCCAACTAAGTCCCTCATGCTGTGATGTGGTTAGAATTGTGACGAAGTCCTTTGCATTATCCTGCTATTCACATTTTGATGGGGCACCCAAACTCTTAACCATTGCACTTTCAGCAACTTTGAAGCCACTGCTTACCCTGCTCTGATCCTCATTTCATGCCTCCTCCTCATTCAAGAAAAGCGCCAGGCATTGATCACAGACTCCCAGGCGAGTAGCAGCAGCAGCAGGTGTGAGAGGCTTAGGGGAAGGAGGAGAAGCGTAGCCTCTGTCTGTAAAGGTGAACTCCTGTCTCCTCTAGGATGCAAAGGGAATCCCGGTTCAGACTTTCAGACACCTGGAATCCCTGCTGAGAGTCCAGCGGGAGCAGAAGGCCCGGAAGTTTTCTGAATTTCTGAGCCTGAGGGGAAAGCTCGTCAAGGAAGTCACCAGCAGAGCGAAGGAGAGACAGGAGAATGGCGCTGTGGTGTCCCAGCCAGATGGGCAGCCTTCAGGTACACTGGGGAGAGGGCTTACTCAGTGCTGTGACCTGGAAGGGTCCCATTCTTGCCAAGGCTTGTTTGCATATGAGGAGGGTATAGTCTCTGTCCCCATCAGGGGCACTTCTCTGAAGGGCTGAGCTGGTAGAGTCCTCACAGATGACCGAGTCCCAAAGTTCTCTGTTGAGGAAACAGGATCTGGGGTGGGGGTGGGGGTACTTGCCCAGGGTCACTCAGGGAAGTTGGAGGAAAGCCGGAGCTGGACCCTGTTGTCAGCCTGAACTGTCCCTAAGCAGACATGCTGCCTCCCTTAGCACCTTCATTCTGTGCTACTTGGCTTGCTGTGAACACAGTTGAGTGTCTCTTTAATAAAGAGCAGCCTATTCAGTTTCTGGCTCTACACACCAGGGATGCTAGCCCGGAGAGGCAGGCAGAGGCCTGGGAGTATTGAAGCTGCAGGTGGAGGCAAATATCAATCAAATATAAATTTCCGCAGAGCTCAGCTATCCCCTCCTCTAGTCATGGGAGGTCATGAGAGGCTGGGCCAGTTCTGCACTCAGATGAATTCTCAGAGCTCAGAGTTGGTTCCCTGGGCCAGGTCATAGCTGCTACTTTACCATTTGTCCACGCTCTGGGGGTCATGAAAAGAGAAGGCCCTGTGTTTCTGGTGGAACACTGAATTCTGTGGACAAGTTCCCTTGAGTCTGTTCTTACAGAGCAAGGTTATTTGTGTTCCCAGGTTTGAGAGCCCCCTGTTACTAGAGGGTCCTCAGAGGGCCTGGGCTTCTGTAATTGGAGGCTCTGGGGAGGGCTTCAGTGGGGCTGGGTCTGCTCATACAGGGTGCTGCCCTGCTCCTTTCACTTCGTCTCCTCAGTCAGGGACACATGTGGCCAGAAGGAGGCCAATTCTACATCTCCTGTGTCCAGAAAGAACTGATCTGAGCTCTTCATGCAAAAAAATTTTACAGATGTCCCCGCATCTCTGAGGATATGAGAGATGATTTTAGTTGCTAGAGGGACCAATCATTTTATAACTTATGTTTATTTTTCCTCATGTGAATTAGAAGAAAATAACACTAACATAGCAAGCCTGTGAGCTCATGGAAATTACTTGGACAAGTATAAAGCAGGTACTTTGTGTTTAAAAGCATTGTCATTTTGACATGAGAATATGGGAAAAAATGTGTTGATGACCTGGGAAATGATAATATTTAGTTTAAACTTCTGGTCTTAAAGTCTCTATGGAAAGGACGGTTTTTAGTCTTGCACAGAAATCTCAAGACAGACGGGTATTTGTCCTGGTTGCTAATCTGGCTTTCATGCTCCACTTTAAAGGTACATCCTTTTACTCATTCAGCCAAATGCTCATTCATTCATTAGTCCACTCATTCATTTAGTACAGTACTTGCTGAGGTTGACTCTGCCAGGGCCTGCTGCCCTCACCTGGGAAACCAGCCAGGACCAGGTGATGTGATGGAGGCAAGCACGGGGGGGAGTGGGAGCTCAGAGGAGGGAGGAGGCAGGGACTCAGGGAGGATGAATGGAAAAACTCTCAGAATGCTGGCTTCCAAGAAAAAGCAAAGGTATCTTGCTCCTTCTAGGTGCTATGCCCCACACACTCCCACACGCCTTTGTTCCTGTAGTAAAAAAGCCAGGAGGAAAGGGAAAGGAGCCTTTACCGCCTTTGCCTTTCCCTGGCTGGGTTCTGCCTTCTCTGGAGATGTTACCGAGGTGTGAGATGAGCGTTGTGTCTTTGTGACACTTTGTAGATCTTTCTTCCAGCTCTGCACCTTTATTCTCTTTCTGGGTCCCACAGGTGCTGTGTTAATGCTCACCTCCTGTCTCTGCTCAGACCCTGCCTCTTCTCTTGCCTGGGGCAAGGCTGTGGAGGTAGCAAAGGCAGTGGTGAGGGCCCAAGATTGGGGCAGACAGACAACCTCGGTTTGTATTCGCCACTTTCTTCCGTGGAGCTGAGGGCAAGTCTCTTAATCTCTGGAGGCCTCTGTAGGGAAAATCATAGCCTCTGAAGATGCTTGGGGGCCAAGTGGCTATATGTAAAGTGCTTTTCTTGGTATCTCATGCACAGTGATGGGAAGCTATTGCTGTTATCCGCCAGCAGGTTTGTCTTTGTCTTCCCCTTCTCTTGAGTTCACTCTTTCCTGGCAGCTTCACTTCTGAGTAGACACATTATCTGAGAGCAGTACACAGCTGGCCCTTGACCGACGCAGGGGTCAGGGGCACCAACCCCCCATGCAGTTGAAAATTTGCCTGTAATTTTTGACTGCCCTAAAACTTAATTACTCATAGTCTACTGTTGATGAGCAGTCTTACCAATAACATGGACTATTAACACGTTTTGTATGTTATATGTATTCTATGTTATATTATTATAATAAAGTAAGCTAGAGAAAAGAACTTGTTATTAAGAAAATCACAAGGAAGAGCAAATATGTTTGCTATTCATTATGGGGGAAGTGGATCATCATAAAGGACTTCATCCTTGTCTTTATCTTCACGTTGACCTCATCTTTGTGTTGAGTAGGCTGAGAAGGAGGAGGAGGAAGTGGAAGGGTTGCTCCTGCTGTCTCAGGAGTGGCAGAGTCAGAAGGAAATCCACATATAAGTGGACCTGTGCTGTTCAAACCCATGTTGTTCAAGGGTCAACTGTATTCAAACATTTTTTGACCTTGAACTACTGTAAGAAACTCATTTTACGTTGTGACTGACTCCACACTTGCCTGACTCCTGTGATGCACTCTCTCCTCCATACACACTTGCTGATCCGGGATTTCTCTTCCTGGCAATGTGTCTCGAGGCAATTTGGAAAACAAAGTGGCTGTGTCCAGCCTGTCTTGGTACTGCCTTGCCCCAGGCTGCGTTTAGGAGGTTTGAGCGGGTCTTTGATAGTTCCTGCGGTCCTGCAGCGGCCTCTGGTGACAGTAGGGTCTTCCTGCAGGGCTGCCTGCACTGGAGTGGCTGTAGCGTGGGTGGGAGAGAGGGTAGTGGCCTTGGTGAAGTCCATCTCTAGGACTGCTGAGCCCCTCTTCAGACCTGCGGACTCCGCTGGTCTTCTGTAATGACAGTATGACCCTGGAACACCCATGCCCAGCTGCTCTCCTGGTCTCTGAGGAAAGTGGGGAACTGTGGTCCCAGCCTCGAATCTAGCCAGCAGCAGAACACCTAATTTGGCAGCAATCATGAAATCTGCTGTGGTTATCACAGCACACTGAGAGAGAGTGATTGTCCATTTCCAGGGTATTGGAGCAGCTTTCTTCCTCCTCTTAGGCTTGAGACCCAGCATGGGTGTACTGCAAAAGTCATTCCTTTCTGTGTTTCCAGTCAAAAGCCAGCAGAGCACACTGGTCACCAGAGAGGCCCAGCCAAAGACCAGGACCCTGCAGGTGGCCTTGCCATCCAAGCTGGCAGAGCCACCTCCACCAACTCATCAGAGCCGTGGCAGCCATGGCTCCACCCTGACCCAGGTGTCTGCCCCCACTCCATGCCCCAGAGTGCGTGGACCCTCCAGCACCCCTCCTTCCTCGGGGCCTGGGATGAGGTGAGCCCCAGACTCTGCCCTCTCACCCCACCTGTGGTGGTGGCTCCTGGCTTCAGGCAGCTCTGTTCTGGGCTCCCTCTGGGCTTCTCTAGATAGGAAAGGGGAAGACACATGTGAATAGAAGGTGCCTCCGGTGGGGTCCCCTCTGAGCTCTGGAGAAGAGACTTGAGAACTTGTGCTTCCAGCCAAGACAAACCCACCCTCCCCTTACCCATCCTCTATCCCAAGCCTGTTCCCACTCCAGAGGGGCTGGATCCTCAGACAGGCAGGGCTCTATTAAGGGAGAAGCTGGTTGGCTGCTGCACTCCAGGGGTCTCCTGGCTGTCTTCTGTGCCTGAGGGAGGGAGCAGGGCTGGCCCTGAGCAAAGCAAACCAGCTTGCAACACGGTGAAGTTTGGCTTTTGAAGTTTTCTTTCTGGCCCATGCATCCCTCATTTCTTCTCCTTGTGGCAGCACCTCCCCATTCAGTTCTGAAGAGGACTCAGAGGGAGACCGTGTACAGCGTGTATCTCTACAGCCCCCGAAAGTTCCTTCCAGAATGGTGCCCCAGCCCAAGGTTGACTGGGACTGGTCTGACACAGAGACCTCGGAGGCGAGCGCCCAGCCCCCTGGCCAGGGCTCAGGTGAGCTGGCATCCTTGGGTGAGTGGGCTGGGGCCACTGGTGTAGGCCTTCTCTAACTCAGATTTCTTGAGGCTCCAGCGACACCCTGCGGCTTCCTTTAGGCTTTCTGATTTGACATCTCTTTCCCTATTTGATTTGGAGAGGGTGGTCCTCCTTCCCCTAAGATATTTTATTGGGATAGTAGAGCTATCAGGAGAAAGCTAGAGTTTGAGCAAGGTTTATTTTACGCCTTGTTTTGTCATTAAATTGTTAACTGTGGAACGTCGAAGGGAGACCACTCACCGCTTTTCTTCTCCAGGTTCTCTCCAGTAGAGAATAAACACTGTGGCCTAGCCATGGGCGATCAAAGAGAGGGGAGCATCACACCTGGGGTTTGTTGCGGGTGGGAAAGGGGAGAGATAGTGGGAGGGAGGGTGTGGAGGGATAACGTGGGGAGAAATGTCAGCTATAGGTGATGCGGGGCTGGAGGCAGCAAACCATCTTGCCGTGAATGTACCTATGCAATAATCTTGCATGATCTGCACATGTAGCCCAGAATCTAAAGTACAATAATAATTAAAAAAAAAAAAAAAAGCCTTGCTCTATTTGTGGTGACAGGGCCCATGAATGCCTAAGGCATAGGATTCCTGTTAGGGCTGGATTAGAGAAACAACCAGCACTTGAGGCCAAAGTGGGGGCCCCTCCAGCATCCCTGAATCCAGATCCTGATCTTGTGCGCAGGGCTGGGTTTGCAAAGCAGACTCTGACTGTGCGGGACCTTACACAGGCACACTCAGAGTCTGCCTGGAAAAACTTTCAGAATGCTGGCTTCCAAGAAAAAGCAAAGGTATCTTCCTCCTTCTAGGTGCTATACCCCACACACTCCCACACACCTTTGTTCCTGTAGTAAAAAAGCCAGGAGGAAAGGGAAAGGAGCCTTTACCGCCTTTGCCTTTCCCTGGCTGGGTTCTGCCTTCTCTGGAGATGTTACCGAGGTGTGAGATGAGCGTTGTGTCTTCGTAGCACTTTGTAGATCTTTTCTTCCAGCTCTGCACCTTCATTCTCTTGCTGGGTCCCACAGGTGCTGTGTTAATGCTCACCTCCTGTCTCTGCTCAGACTCTGCCTCTTCTCTTGTCTGGGGCAAGGCTGTGGAGGTAGCAAAGGCAGTGGTGAGGGCCCAAGATTGGGGCAGACAGACAACCTCGGTTTGTATTCACCACTTTTTTCCGTGGCGCTGAGGGCAAGTGTCTTAATCTCTGGAGGCCTCTGTAGGGAAAATGATAGCCTCTGAAGATGCTCGGGGATAAACTCAGCCAAAGGGGCGGGGAGGGTCCGAGAGAAAGAGCCGCACTGTCTTCTGGATCAGCAGGCCTCCTCTCCTGCAGGTGCACCATGGCCCTGGGAGTGCTGTAGGCCCACCCCCCTGCTTGGCTCCTTCTGCGAGGAGGAGAAGGTCGTATGTGGGAAAGAAACCAGGAGGGGTTTCTCCTACCGTTGTCCATCCCAGTGAGTAGAGGAGAAGTTCCCGCGTGTGTGGAAGCTGGAGACATGAGAGAGAAGGCTGCCCCCCTATGTTGGCATTTCCAGGTGCTCACCAAGTGCTCAGCTCTGTGTGGGTCTCTCCACATGAGGTTCCTCATTTATGCCTCACAGCACTGATGAGGGAAGGCTGAGCCACACACGTGGTGACGGAAGTTGAAACAGCCTTGAAGACGTTATGACTGGTCAAAGACCACAGGACTGGTGTCATGGGGAAGTAGAGAGTCTGTATGATGTTTTTGAAGTTAATGTGTTAGAGTCATTGTTTATTTGGATGGCAATAGGGTGGCAAGGTCTTGGGACTGGGAAATAAATACATTTGTAAAATAATTTTTTTTTCCCAGAAAGAGCTGCCTTTAACGCTGTTCCCAATGTTAAGAATATCCACACAGTCTTTTATGCTGTTTGAGTTGATTAGCACCAGATGAAGAGTTGCTGGTCACAGAGTTACATATCACAGTGGTTAAAACAGCCTCCGGGGCAAACCTCATTACAACTTGAAGGGAAAACAGTTTCCTACCATGAACATTTTGACAACTGTAGTTTTATTTTTTAAATAACCTTTGCATTATTTTTATTTATTTATTTATTTATTTAATTATTTTTAAGATGGGGTTTCACCCTGATGGCCAGGCTGGTCTTGAACTCCTGACCTCAAGTGATGCACCCACCTTGGCCTCCAAAAGTGCTAGGATTACAGACGTGAGCCACCGTGCCCAGCCACCGCGCCCAGCCCCGACAAATGTAGTTTTGTATAACACAAAATGTGCAACAAATACAACTTTTTGCAACAACTCAACTGGGAAAAATGTAGCTTCTCAGCAAAGCTGAGACAGAGGGGGAGCCACAGACAGTCAGCCTTTATAGCAGGCCGCCTTTGGGCCGAAGCAGCCCATTTTATCCTATGGGAAAGCTCTTTGCCCTTTTCAGCCAGGAGACTTAGAAATTCAACTTGCTGATGAAAAGGGCATTGTAGAGACCCGAGCTAACTGTCATGGTAACTGGAATGAAAATAGTCATTAAACTTATTTTCTGTCTAACAGGTTTAGATATGTTGACTAGTTGAGCATCCTTCTTTTCAAAACAATTGTCTACTCCCATTCTTTTAAGATTTTCCTATAAAACCACAAAGTGAGGCCTGTAGCTTCTGGCCTCAGTGGCATTTTCTGGCCAAGGCTGAGTTAAAGAACATGGAATTTAGAGCTTTGTCTTTCTAAGGTTGGTGAGTAGAAACTCATCAGGCTAGGCTTGCAGTCTGCAAAGTTCTTGCTCTTAATAGACTCTGCAGTACTTGGCAATGTTTACAGCATAAGCCAAGTCTGCCAGTCCATCAGAATTCACCAGAAACAAGATCCCAGGATAAGTATTGATACCCTGCCAGGCAAGGGCAATAGGGTAGCAAGGTCTTGGGACTGGGAGGAGTCTTAAGAGAAAGTCCTGGCTCTGCCACTTGCTACCTGCTTGTCCTTGTGGAGGGGGGTTCTGCTCCCTTGTTGTAAAATGAGGTATTTCGACAAGATGATTAATTAGAATAAACAGTGCCTGGTACATTGTAGGCGTTTAACAAATATTTCTTGAAAGAATCGATGAGCCAAGAGCTATTGTAGCTCCCAAAGTCTGCTCAGACTTTGATTTAATTGGAATCCTAGAAGGCTGTATTAGTTTCCTGCTTCTTGGTCATTCCTGAGGTTCATACATCACCTTGGTGTGCCAGGCACCAGGGATCTGTTGATGGTCTCTGTCACTGCTTAACTCCTGCTTCCCGCATGGACTTCACAGAAAGTCATTCTTGCCTGAGGTCCTCCCATGAGATCATAAAGATATGATATCATGCCAGGCGCGGTGGCTCATGCCTGTAATCCCAGCACTTTGGAAGGCCGAGGCGGGCGGATCACGAGGTCAAGAGATCGAGACCATCCTGGTCAACATGGTGAAACCCCATCTCTACTAAAAATACAAAAATTAGCTCGGCGTGGTGGTGCGTGCCTGTAGTCCCAGCTCGGGAGGCTGAGGCAGGAGAATTGCTTGAACCCAGGAGGCGGAGGTTGCGGTGAGCCGAGATCGCGCCATTGCACTCCAGCCTGGGTAACAAGAGCGAAACTCCGTCTCAAAAAAAAAAAAGATATGATATCATATCTTTATGATATTTCTTCTTGTCTCTGTGTGAAGACATTGAGGAACTAACTGCATGTTTATGATGATACACTTCATTCCCCACACTGAGCAGAGGTCCTGCTCAGCCTCTCAGTAGAGGGAAGCACAGCTTCCTAAAGCCTCTGTCACCAGCCATGTCATTAAGTCTGCACAGTCACATTTTCAGAATATGCCAAGCTTCTGTCCACTGGGTACCTGTTGGCCTGACCTTCTTTCTCTCCTTGCCTCTCTTTTTTGTGATTGCTTGGCCTTCCTCCTCCTGGCCTTTTTGCTCATTCCGTCTGTCTACACTGGAGCCTGGACACGAGACATGACCCGCAAGGATGAAACGCTCATTTTCTAGGCTTCTCTCACTGACACAGCCACTTCTTCCCCTTCCAGGAACACTGGTGCAGTCAATGGTTAAAAACCTGGAGAAGCAGCTAGAAACTCCGGCAAAGAAGCCTGCTGGAGGGGTCAGTCTGTTTTTTACACCCAATGCTGGGCCACAGAGGGCTTCCATACCAGCAAGGAAGCCTCAGGTAGGATGTGGGATTCTCAGAGTTTGCCCTGCAATTCCCTACAGAGCCAGCTCTGAGTTTGGGAAGCCTGGGGTAAAGGTTGGGGAGGGTCCAACAAGTGTCATCCTTGGCCCTAGTGGGACATTGCAGGTGATGTCCCTCTGCCCCTGTGCATGTGGAGAGATAGCCAGTTTGGAATACTTGTATCCAAGTTAACTTTAAAAAGCCTTTTGGTTCATTATACAAGCAATGCTCAGTAAGTTTGGATTCTCCCATCTCCTGCCTCCAAAAGAGCGTTGGAGCTGACTCTGTGTCTGGCTTCCTGCAGTTGCTGCTCTTACAGCTCTGTCTCATCCCATGGTGGGCTCCTCCCCAGTCTTTCACTCTGCCACAGACCCTAACCCATTATGTATGTGGAGTGGACTCCCCCAAGGGTGTTACTGGAGTGGCCTCACATAGCATGTCAGTCAGTAACAGCACAAGACAGGAATACTTAGATAACTTTGTTTTAGAAACCTGAGCCTTGCCTCAGACTCTAGCCCACCATCAGGTTTTCTGACTTAGAGCTCAGATATTGAGCTTCCCTCAGCACCATCAGAGCCTCCTCACTGCCCCTTCTCCTCCATCAGGGAACAACTTGCATGCTGCTGTTATTTTTCAAACAGAAAACTTTAGCGCTTCCTTTACTTCACATCCTTTCTCAATCAAAAAGGTGCATCCTGGGGTAATCAGTGCTATTGCTCTAAGTTGTGGAAGTGGTGGGCAACCATTCTTTAATTTTTGGTAACACTCCCCCCCCTTTACCACATAGCGTGTTTCGTTTATCACACAGCTCATGGATGTTTGTGAGTAATGCATCCAAATGATTGAAAAGAAAAACAAAACTTGTTCCTTTTTCCAAATTGTGAAAGAGCACCAACAGTCCCAAACAGATAGGCACTGCTCAGAGCACGTTTTTTGCCCTGCACCCTGCGTGGGTTCTGATTGGTTGGCCTTACATTCCTGGAGAAAATGCGTAGAATGGCTTGCTTCAAAGCCCAGGTGGCCAGCAGGGGCACTGAGGACTCTGGAAGGGAAGGCCTGGGCTGCTATGCAGGTGGCTGTGGTCTGGGGGTGGCCTGGCCCCTTGTCCGACTCCGAGCTGTCCTGCTGGCTGCAGCCCAGCCCCTTCCAGGCTGAAGGACTCCTGTTGTTCCTGAGCTCCTCTCATGCTCCTGCAGTCAGGATGTTTACCAGGCCAGAAAGAACCCATCTGAGAGGAGGCGGGAAGTTAGCCCACAGTACATTCAGCTTGAGAACCTGGTTGAGCTTCTAGCTCTGTCAAAGTGGGAGTTACAAATCTGCACACAGTTTAAGTGAAAACAAGAGCAACCTGATCTGCACAGAGGCCTTTCTTTCCAAGGCACTTGCCTGGGCTTGGTTAGTAGAATTTCAGGGGTATTTGAAATTACTCTGACCCCAGGTCACTAAAGCAGGTTCTCAAAGGTGGCGAGACTTGGGAAGGCAGGAGTAGCATCACCCTATTGCTTTCTTCCCGATCTGCATTTGTCCCCATTTCCATTCTGCATTCCCGTCCTGCAATGTGCTTAGCTCTGAGACACCCTCCTCCCTTATCAAAATGCATTTCCTTCTCCCCTTTTCCTCCTACAGCTTTCTGAAGATGAGAGTGACCTGGATATCTCTTCCTTGGAAGATCTTCCTTTGGGCCTGGACCAGAGAGAGAAACCCAAGCCCTTTTCTCGTTCGAAGCGCCCAGAGAAGTTTGGCACTGGTCCACAGAGCTTTGGCCAACCTAGGGTCCCTGCCTGGTGATTCACCCCAGAAGCTGACCAGCCAGAGGGTTAGCTTGGCTGGGGCCAGCTCAGGTCCTCTCCAGCAGAAGAGGCTTCTGGGCCTCTCGTCTTCACAAACAGCCAAGAGATGGTCCCCTTGGAGAGAAGCAGTGCAGGGAATAGATAGAGTCTTATCCTTCCTGCCCTGTGAGAGGCCTTGCTGTAGAGGGCCACAGGTACCTGACTAGGATCCCCTGGGTCCCGAGGCTTGAGAAAGGTTTTAACAGGACCTCCAGGTAGTCTACCTCCATGTCTCCCCCAGACTGATAAGAGTCAACTGGCTCTCTTTTCCCAAGCCTTTTATAAAGCTGCAGGAGGCCAGGTGTGGCTCATACCTGTAATCTCAGCACTTTGGGAGGCTGAGGTGGGTGGATTATGAGGTCAGGAGTTCAAGACCAGCCTAGCCAAGATGGTGAAACCCCATCTCTACTAAAAATACAAAAATTAGCCGGGTGTGGTGGCAGGTACCTATAATCCCAGCTACTCGGGAGGTTGAGGCAGTAGAAGAATCTCTTGAACCCAGGCGGCAGGGATTGCAGTGAGCTGAGATTGCACCACTGCACTCTCAGCCTGAGCGACAAAGTGAGACTCTGTCTCAAAAACAAACAAATAAAAACCGCAGGAACATTGTGGGGATGGGTCCTATCTGGGGTCCTTTTGGGGACATGTGCCTCAGTCAGTCATTCAGTGATTGATTTAAAATTATTTACTGAGTGACTGCCTACTCTGCACCAGGATCTCCAGCCTCTCACTGCCGAGTTGGGGTGCAGGCAAAGGCTGGGGCAGAATGTCTACAGCCAGTGCCAGCACAGGGTAGTAATCTAGTGATAGAGAACAGGGTGTTATGGGAGCATATGAGAGACCATCCAACCCAGCCTGGGTGAGAGGGGAGAAGGGTGGGAAGGGAGAAGGGCCACTTGGCTGGACTTCATGTCCCCAAAGGATCACACATGTACTTTTTGATATTATTTCCAAAATCAGGTTTTATACATAACCATTTTATATTTTTAGTGTGAAAGACATTAATATATTATATGTAAACATTTAAATATAGCACGATGTTTTTAACTCTGGTATGTATTTCATTATTTTTGGAGCTTTCAGGGGGTTGGGAGGGAAGGAAGCAATTGCATCTTAATTGTGTCAGTTTAGGTCTTTTGGGACACAGTTTTGAAGATGGAGTTATTGAGGAGCTGCACGTGGGAAAGAGGAGGTGGAAGCAGGGTCTGGCGGGGAAAGGCCGCAGAGTGCAATGCTCATCTGACCCTGTCAACAGAAAGAGAGAAGGAAGCCAGAGGAGTCAGGAGAGCTCAGGGCATTGATGTGCAGTTGACAAGGTCTCCACTGATCCAGTGGGGAGCTCCTGAGCAAGAACTGCCCACTTGGGAGTCCCCATTGTGCAGAAATGGCCAGGCCCTTGTGCCTGCACTGCACTTGGCCATTGGCTGGGGCGACCCAGACTGAATGAGACCTCGACTTGAAAGCTGGAGTGAACCTGTCTGCCAACTTCATTTCTCCTGATTGAATGGCATTTTTTTTTTCCTGAAAGGGAGACTCAGCAAAGAAGCTCCGTCTCTGCCATAGCAAAAATCTGTTCTTAACTTTTTGCTCTGAAAAATTTTAAACACATATATAAATAAAGGGAATAGTGTGATGAACCCATGTGCTCATCACTGGACTTCAAATATTATCAACTCAACTCAAGGTCAGTCTTTCACCTATTACCACCTCTACTTCACCCAGACTTCTTTTGACCTCTGGATGGTCCTGACACCTGATGAGGCCTTGAAGTTCTCATAGGAAGGTGTTGGAGGAAACGCACTGCAGGGAGCAAAAAGGGTCTGGTGGTAGAGTAGGGTGGCTAGGGGAGGGGGCGGGCTGAGGGGTATTGTGGTATAAAGGAGGCAGCTCAGTGAGGATGTTCAAGAGAGCTGATCTACCAGATCAGCCCGCAACCCTGGTGGGATGGGAGTTGATGAGTAATTGTTCCAGGCTTCCTGTGCTTCCGTGCGGCACCTCTGAGGTTTATTCTGCACGGTTTCTCAGAGTCCCTTGTGGGATTGAGTGCTGGTTCTCACTAGTATGCAGTTACTATTATGAATGCATAGTTTATCGACCTTCCTCCTTTCTGTTTCATTTTTCTCTCTCCTTCACTTTCTCTTATGAGCACCTCTGAGATAAATTAATCTGCACCCAACTCTTTGTCTCTAGCTCCACCTTTGGGGAAACCAAAGTGAAAACAGTAAATGTGTTAGTACATGTGTATGCACACACTGGTGATGATTACCAGTGAGAATGTCCCTATTCTTGAATGTTCATCATTATGTCATATGTTTCCAAATGGGTTTTTCTGTCTACTTTGGAGGCTTTGACTAACATATTACTTTGGTTTTTCTATGCTGTGTTCACCCCTCCCCATTTTCAAATATATTGTAAAATTCTTTAATAAGTTGTATTAGGTCTCCATAGAAACAGAACCAGAAGATACATACATACATATATATATAAACACATAAAGTATATGTACACACACATAAGTATCTATACATATACATATACATATATACATATGTATATGTATAGATACTTATGTGTGTATGTATAGATACTTATGTGTATACATATATATGTATACTTGTTATTAACTTGTTATTAACTTGTTACTACACATATTTGTCTTTTTTAATCTATAGATTCCAATTCCACTTTTCCCTCTTTCCTTTCTTCCCTTCTTCCCTGCTTTCCTCTCTTCCTTCCACATGATTTGTATTATTTTTACTCTTGATGAATAAATCAGATTGTTTATCTTAATTCCCCACAGTCTGGATTTTGCTAATTGATTACTGTGGTGGTATTTGTATTCCTCTTTCTCCTGAACTATCTTTAAGTTTGTACTTAGAGCTAAATACTTGATCAGATTCAACTTTGACCGTTTTGTGTTTTGGCAGGACTCTTCATCAGTGGTGTTGTGCATCTCCGTCAGGAGACACAGAGTCTGTTTCTCCTTTCTTGTGATGATGATGGCATGATGATAGACATTGATGACCATTGCCTAAATCCATCTGTTAATTAGAGATCCCTTCAATATTGATAGTCTAAGTCTGTGATTCCTTTGACATTTGCTAGCTGGAAAACTGTAAAGAGGAATTCTCCACATCATACTATATGCTTGCCTTGAGGTACAATTTATGCAGGTAAAGCAGCTAAAGGCTCAAGTCTTTCTTTTTTTCAGAATAATGAGTTAATTTCCTAGTATCTTTAATAGGTGCCATACAACCTTATGTATTTAAATGTATTTGATTTGTTTAAATCCTTTGTAGCTATTATTTTTATTAATGCTGAGATTGTCCTGTCTTTGGGTGCCTCTTTAATTTGATTCTTGAATGATTTTGATATGACCTTAGTAGTCTGATAGCTTCCTACCAGGCCCATTGTGTATATTTCTTGTCCCAGACCTAAAATTAGTAATTTATCTGGGGGAATCCTGTTTTTTTTTTTTTTAAGAAGGAAATTATATTTATAGAAATAATCTGGGTGTTAGGAGTGCCTGTTACTTCTGGACTTATTGTTTCTAAGATCTTTCAGTGCACAGAGATAGGAAATACAATAAAAATATTGTGAGTTCATGTTGATACTCACTATTCAAATTCCTGACTGCAGAATTTTTACTTTATCTTCTTGGTCTAATATATCTATCTGTATTGCTTTTCTTCCATACCAAAAATCCTGGCTATTAACGTCACTGTCATAGTCTTAGAAATGGCAATACTCACCCTATTGCTTATAGTATGAATACTGAAAACAATTTAAAATTTGTTATTCACTTTTTGGAGTTGTTTTTGTCCTTAAGGTAGATCCCACTTGGGATGTCCTGCGAAATTACTGTGTTTTAAAGTCACTTGTAGTTCCTCTCTGTAGTTATGCTACTGGATGCCATATTTTACTTTTGATTTTTAGAGACTGCATTTTTATTATGTAATTTGTGTCTTATTGCTCTTAAGAGTTTTTAATCTATTGAAAATATTAATCCTTTGTTATGTATGTTACTTTTTCTCCTTTCTGGTCAATCATTGGTCTTTTAATTATGTTTATGGAGTTTTTTTTCTATAAAGAGATTTTAAGTTGTAGCTGTCTAATTAATCAGTGTTTTACTTTAGAATTTCTGCTTTTGGTGTCATAATTAGGAAGGTCTTTTTCATTCTAAGACTTCTACATGTTCATCTATGTTTTCTTTTACTAGTTTAAGAAGTCTTGAAATTTTGAATATGTACCATATCTGGATTTTTTGAGGGGTATTAGCAGTAATTTAGGAATCTATTTTATTTTTACAATTAGTCATCTCAGCAGTATCACTTGACAATTCATCATTTCTTCGCTTAAAAAATGCCTGCTCCGTCAAATGTAAATTATTGTATGTAGTTAGCCTATTCTTGGACTTTCTATATATTCTATCAATCTGACTATTCTGGTACTATTCTGACATTGCCCAGTTTTTTAAAATTCATTTTTATTTTTATTTTTATTACTTTTTATTATTATTTTTTGAGACGGAGTTTCACTCTTGTTACCCAGGCTGGAGTACAATGGCACGATCTCGGCTCACTGCAACCTCCGCCTCCTGGGTTCAGGCAATTCTCCTGCCTCAGCCTCCTAAGTAGCTGGGATTACAGGCACGTGCCACCATGCCCAGCTAATTTTTTGTATTTTTAGTAGAGACGGGGTTTCACCATCTTGGCCAGGATGGTCTCGATCTCTTCACCTCATGATCCACCCGCCTCGGCCTCCCAAAGTGCTGGGATTACAGGCTTGAGCCACCGCGATCGGCCTAAAATTCATTTTTAATTGTAAAATAACACATAAAGTTTACCATCTTAACCACTTCTAATTGTATTGTTTGATGGTGTTGAGTATATTAACACTGTTGTGCAACCAGTCTCCAGAGCTTTTTCATCTTCCCCAACAGAAACTTTATACCCATTAAACAATTCCCTATCTCCCCGCAACCCCTTCCCAGGCAACCACCATTCTACTTTCTATGATTTTGACTACTGTAGGTGCCTTATATGGTAGTATCATACAGTATTTGTCTTTTTGTGACTGTCTTATTTCACTTAGCACAATGTCATCAAGGTTTATCCATGTAGCTTGTGTCACAATTTCCTTCCTTTTAAAGATTGAATAATATTCCATTATATGAATATATCTCACTTTGAAAATCCATTTGTCTGTCAACACTTGGGTTGCTTCCACATCTTGACCATTATGAATAGTGCTGCTATAAACACAGCTGTGCAAATATTTCTCCAAGATCCTACTTTTAACTTTTTTTTGGATATATACCCAGAAGTGGAATTAC